CGTGCTAACTTCACACCGGTGTAAATACCTCTGTAAATTTTAATGTGTAATTAATTAATGATATTAAATCAGAATAATTCTGCACCTAATTCCTATAATTCTGCACTACTTAGGTAGTTCCTGTAGTTTTCTAATTTCACAAATTTTTTACTAATTCCTGAAAGTATACGCCAAAATTCTTCTGTGGTTCAGCCCTTGTTTAATTCTGTTAGACGTTTAGGTAATTTCACTGATACTTTAAGGCATAGGGGATTTGAATTGTAAATTTACTTGTCTATACAGTTAAACAAAATCAATATAAAAATTCCTCCTATTTATGAACTATTATATTTCTTGCAGCCTTCAACTTTTGAAAACTTTGGCAGCAACTTTGGAAAATATTGCATCTCTTACAATCTTAGGTACTTGGTCTCTTATGATGATGATCATTAGAAATCTCGATGGTGATGGCAGTGTTAAAAATTGCAATGATTGGCAAGAAACAAAACAAACTGTCAGTGATACGATCTGAGAAATAAAAACGCAATCTATAATTCTATTGGTCAGCCGGATACTAGTTTCGTATATTTGTCATAGACATTACCAGCAAGTTTATCGGAAGATGAATAAAGCGGGCCTAAATTTGAATAAGGAAAATAAATACTAATTACACTTGGCACGTACTATCGCCTACAAACCTAGCAGGGTTGGCACTCTGTAACGGATGGAGATCATTATCCCTATTACTATGGCACTTGCTATCTTCTTCTCTCGTTTCGACATCAATAGAGAGGAAACGCCAATAGAGATAATATTTCTATTCGTTACAGAGTCCCAGTCCAGATGTTGACTGTCATGTGAAAAATTCGGTCCTATCTGACCACATAGCCATAATTGCTGGTCTCAGCTTAATGCATATAAAAAAATTTCCATTAATTCACAAGAATGGTTGAATTTGAAGTAAAACAAAAATCGCAACTTCAGTGACAACTGCAGAAAAAGTAGCTTTTCCAACTTCCCAATCTGATTCTCATTTTTCCTTTTCTGAAATTAAATTGAACTATTCTCAAATTCACTTTCTTTTTTCTGCTACTGGAAGTTTCTATTGTGAAATAGATGTTCCCTTTTTTCCCGAACTGAACTTTGATTTTCTGAATTAAAATTGATAAAGGAGCAGACTTCTCCGCTAATTGAGTGTCACATAATATGAGAAACTTTGATATGGGGTTCCTTTTTTTTGGGGTAGCTGCAGTGACTTTTTGTTGAATTCAGTGTTTGTAGTTGCTCCTTGAGGTTTCCTTAGACCTTAAGGAAGCCTTGAACGTTTATAATTGACATGACTAACTTGTCAATTGTTATGCGGATACTGAGTATTTTGAAGGTTAGACTATTACCTGATGCCAGGACTATAGAATTGAATGTACATTTATAATATTAATGATAATAAAATTCTTTATTTGCTCAAATACAAATGTTTAGCATTGTCAATGACTATATAAATGAACAAATGCAATACAAATATAACTTCAAAAGATAGAAGACACAATTCAACAATAAATAATAAAGTAATAAGTAGGTAGTAATAAATTAAACAATAATAAGTGGTGATATAAAACAGATAATTATAACAAACGTATTGTTTTCCTATCTATACCTGACATAAAATTCTTCCGAAGTGTAAGGGGGCAATTCTAAAACCCTAAAACTAACTTTTTTATTATTTTTTTGAACATAGTAGGAGGCAGTGCTTTTATCTCAGGGGCTAGGCAGTTATAAAGTTTTATGCTGTTATTAATGTAAGTTTTATAAGTTAGTGTTAGTCAGTGTTGGTAAATTAATGAGTCTTCAGCATGTCTAGTTGGGTAGTGATGTCTACTATTGACTGTTGAGTGTTGAGAACTCAGATATGTGCTCTTGTGTAACTGAGGCATTGATATATGAACAGATCTGGTAGGGTCAGTATTTGGAGATCAGTGAAAAAAAGTCTGCAGCTTTCAGTTGGTTTCAGTCTTCCAATCATTCTGATGACTTTTTTTTTTGATTTTAAAAACTTTTGGCCAGTCAACAGAACATCCCCAGAAAAGCAGGCCGTATGACAGCCTAGATTGGAAAAGTCCCATATAGGCTGCACAGGATACTTCAATTGGGGTGTCTGGTGATAGGTGTAATTCTGCGAAGAAAATGAAGGGTACAGGAAAGACTCTTGGATAGTTGGATAATGTGGTTTTTCCAGGTCAGTCTACTCTCGAACTGTATAATGATATTTTGAAAAACAGAGGCCCTGAAAATCACGTAACTGCAGAAAGCTTGAGCAATGCTTTAGAGGGAGTCACAAATTCAAGGGTGACCATTGAGATATCGGAAACTATAAGAGATACGAGGTCAGTTAGATTATGGCAAAGTTGCGCAATTTTATGACCAATTAAATGCTGATTTGAAATTTGGAAAATTCAGAATACTTCCGGAGATATTCGGAAAAAACTTGATGTAAGAGAACATTGCAAGCCCCTATTTTTGAAACATCAGATTTTAACTGTCACATGCATTTTTATATTGGAAACAGTTTGCTTAATTTTTAAAAAATTCAGGGATGTAATCTTTGCCCCGAGCTATAACTTTAGGAACCAGGAAAATATTCCCCTCCCAATTCCAAGATCCAGCCTTACAAAGCAATCCCTGATTTATGACAGCATTAAGATTTTCAATAAATTGCCATCTGACTGTAGAAGACTACATAATATACAGACTTTTAGAAGAACGGTAAAAGCGTTGCTGGTTGATAAAGCCTATTATTCCTTGGATGAATATTTTGATGACAGGTTATAAAAATAAACCGGGTATTTATATATAAGTTAAGATTTTGTTAGGCCAAAGTGTATTTTGCTTAAGTATGTTTCTATTGTTTGTATTTTCTTTTGATTTTATTTATAAAATTTTTGTATTTAAATGTTGTGATTTTATATTTTATTTTATTTTGTTTTAAAGCCCTATACTTTGCTTTGTCTATAAAGATCAATTGTATTTTTACGACAATAAAGCATATATTGATTGATTGATTGATTGGAACGGAAATTTTGCAAAATCATTTTAATTTTTTCCTGAATCTATTTGAAGAGCAATTTCAAAATAAATATCACTTCATTGTTGTCACTTTTTCCCCTTGAAAAGATGTTGCTATCAACTTTCAGATTCGACGTTTCGTCTTTGGGCCACCATCATCAACTTCATTTTTCCAAATACGGACCTGGATTTTTTATTTCGAATTTCAAGAGCTTCTGATGTCCCAAAACCTATGACGTTTCGCATCAATTCGAAATAATTTTTTAAACTTAAAAGTGACAATGGTGAAGTGTGAAGTGTCATTTATTCTAAAATTGAATATCTTCGGAAGTATTTGGAATTTTCCAAATTTCAAAACGGCATTATCTTGGTCATAAAATTGCGCAACTTTGCCATAATTCAACCGACCTGGTATCTGTTATAGTTTCCGATATTTCAATGGTCACCCTCGAATTTGGGACAGCCTGTACACCATGTAATAAAGGAAGAACAAACATGTGGAAGCTTGACAGCCTATCGGAAAAGACTCTAGAATCATTAATAATAACTGTGACAACTGCTGAATCAGATGAGAGTGATTCATTCGCAAAATATTAGGACCTCGATCGGGACTAACTTGTTTTGATAACCCTACGGGTTGCATCAAGCCCTACACATACTATCCCTACCTACAATGCTCACCCTGTTTTCAACTCTGTTTTTGTGTGTGTTTGAATTCGTAATGAGGTTCTGTGCTCTTAAAAAAATCAGGAAACAGAGTATAGTAGGATGGTTTGCGTGAAGGGAGGGCTTATTACGTGGTTACTAAGTATTTGGATGGTTGGGTTAGTATTAACATAATTGTATCTGAATGTTTTGTGTGTATGTTTTGCTTGTCAGTTTTTGTATACCTTATACTGTTTTATCCACATCTATTTAGTTTTACTTGACTGTGTAGCAAGTGTGTATATGTATGTAGTAGATATACGTATTTATCAAGGTATGTAAGCATATTGTATACTTATGTATATTCATGTTATCGTACGTCTGTTTCTGTAGAGATCACAAACCAGTCAGAGCGAATTTCATTGGTTGAAAACAGTCCGAAAACTAGTTTCAACCAATGAAATTCACTCTGACTGGTTTGTGATTTCTGCACAAACAGAACTCATATAAGCGGGTACCTATTTATGGATGATTCATGTATTTTGGTCCTATAATATTATTATTAATTTTTCTTTTCCTTATTGTAGTTCCCTATTTTGGAATAAATTGATTCACCTTTGTCAATGACCATGTATTTTGTGGACAAGAAAGCAGGTATTGATTTGTTTAATTTTTTTTATGATACAGGTAAAGAAACTGTTACCAAATCAGTTTTGCAGAAGGAAAGTTACTCGGAAAGTTAGTTAATTTCTTTGAACTGTAAAGGACCTCAAACTGCACTACAAAAATGAGGTTTTCCCCAAGAAATGTATGGACCCGAGTATGGACCCTTGAGTGCAAATAAGCTGAATACACGAGTAGGTATTTTTATTTTATAAAAATAATTGAATAGGTGTACAGTCCCAAAAGCAGACACTTTTAAATTAATAATGGATCAGGCGAAAGCCAGGTATTTTCGCAGAAAATCCATCAATATTGAAATCGAAAAGTTTGACCCTTGGTTTGACTACAAAAAAACTAGGCTTGCTAATAATTATTGCTATAAAGGTAGAAAACAATGAAAAACAAGAAAATCGCCATTTTACACCTGGAAAATGTCTCTTCTGTTCGATTAAATTCCCTATAATCTATTGTTGATTTGTGTTTATAACTGTGAAAAATTAAAATTGAATACTAAAAGGTCACACACTCTCTTGCCAGCAAACAGTTTTGTTTACACTGCACCAGTAAAGTTTTTATTTACAGAGAAATCGGTTTATCAGAGAACAACTGGCGGCAGGTGAAATAAAAATCTTCTCTTTGCATCTTTCACTCACCTGTGTTATATTCTACCTCTATAGCCACAGTACAATATCCAAACACTAATACACACAGCACCCGCACTAAATGCATGTCTTTATCGGTAAATCAACGGCACTTTTTACTCAATTTTTTTTTTCAAATAAATAAACGCGAAATATATTTTGTTTAACTAGTAGAGGTTCATACGTCGAAACGTCATGGACGGGAAAAAGAGTTGATCTCAACTCCCCGGATTGCCGCGACGGCGTAGTTCGCGCAATTGACGCTAGGCACGTTCGCGTCGCCGGTCGATCGAATCTCAGGTGGCGGCGCGAAGAGAGGGGCAATGTTAGACTGATACACAGTGTACCAGAAAAAGGGATTTCGACTTTTTGGAGCCACATTATGGTTTAAAGTATCAAAAACTTTGTTCCAACAAAGTAGGAAGCCTTACAATCTACCGTCACGATTCTGCGCAAAACATTGAATTAGTGTGTAGAATCCTAAATTCGTATACAGAGTGGTTTCGAAACCGTCTATGTCATGGTTTTTGATGTGTTGAAACAGACCTGATGATGCTTCTCTGTTTAGGTCAGCTTTGTAACAACCATAGATTTTTCTCCTGTTGGTGTATTTTGGTGTATTTCGTATATTCCGGAAACCGTTCTGAAAAAGTCAAATAGGTATACTATGTAATCACCAAACAATTTAATTTGTTTTTAATCAATTAGGTAACTCACCATTATAGAAATAAGTAATCTGGAAGCTCAAATTCACATTCTTTGAACTTTTAAAAGATTTAAATTATGAATCCTTACAGTTTCGATTGCTACATTGAATTGAATTTGATGCATATCCTTTTCACATAAGAATTCGAATGAAGATTTGCTTACCCTTTCCCTCCAAGTCTCAGGTCTGCATGATATGGTGTGACATGTACAATGTTCTGACCCAGTAAGTTTGTAAGTCTCTTATTCAACTTCCATCATTCCTCTTGGAAAATTGGATTTTTTCTTCTCGGATTCAGATAAGATAGGAGGAATATTGTCAAAAGGTAATTCTTCCATATCTTTTATTCAGTCTCCCAAAAAAATGGTTTTTCAAGTCTACAAAAGTTTGTCCACATATCTGAGGTAGATATATTTTGAAAGAGACTCACGTCAAACTCTGAGTATGTTTTGTTGTAGAAGTAAAAAATTGCCCAAGCTATTTCAATTGAATTATATTGACAATAGTATGAGGAGGTAAAATCTACTAACTATGTGTCCACTGTCTTTCAAAATCCCGTCAATTTTGTAATGTTTAGGTGAGTTTCTAAATGGTTGGATTAGGTAAGTCCCGTTTGTGTCAAAGGTTATCTCATGTTAAGTCAACCATATTTTTGCATTTTGTCTTTGAAGAGAATGTGGGTATATATTTTATCTACCAGCTCCAGCTCTGAATGGTATGGAGCGTCATCCATAACAACCACTCGCATTTCTCTTCAAATTTACATACTTAATGCAATGCAGGGATGTTGTTTAACCAAGCAACCCATTTTTGAAGTAAGTCTGCGTTTAGCGTTCATGGTATATTGTCAACTAGCTGCTTAGGAAAGGAGAACCCGGTATTCAACCTTATTAATTTATTTACCCATTCGGTCGGATGTTTATTGCAATTCAGCAATAAATGGATATAAATTGCGCTGCAAGCCGCAGCAAAGGCAGACTTAAACCAGTGCAAGTACCTCTCGTTGGAAAAGCCCCTCTGGAATTAAGTCTCCCCCGAGGTCTCCCCAGTGCAAGTACCTCTCGTTGGGAAAGCCCCTCTGGGTATCTTCAGCCTTATTGTTGTCCAGTGCAATTACCTCTCGTTGGTAAAGCCCCTCTGGACAAGGCAGAATGGTTACGATAATTAATCTACAGTCCCCCAAGCAGCGTTGACATGTGGCTCCCTATAAGGACCTCAGTGTTCAAAGGGTCATGCATCTTATAGGATTAGTGTATACGTAAGGGCATATTTGGAAAATATATATCTACACTTTTACATAAATTGAGCGAGTTTCTCTCCATCGATCCCCAAAGCTACAAACCCCCCATGTCACCCCCGTAAAAAGGGCAGTTGTGACAATATTATGATGATAGTCTCAGTCAATTGTTTCGTGAATCTGAAAAAAGTCGCACCGAATAAGTCTCGCACTGAATTTTGGATGGACTACTTCTCAGCAGATTCGTCCATCCATCGACGCATCTCGCATCTGCGACCCATTTTCATAAATCCAGGTTTCATTTGGATACACGAATCTATAAATTTCCCCTGAATTTTTGTATTGGAGATATTTTCCAGAGCTTCAAATGATTACTTACCCGTCTTACCCCGATAAATATCTAAAAGTTTAGGGCCTCAAAAACGCCTGCTTGGCCGTCTACCGTTGGGTTGTTATTTTTAAAGTGAGTCCTTTTTTCTTCTGTAATAATTTTTGGCACCTTGAATTTTAAGGTACATGAGCAAGAACTTTATATTTTCTTGGTATTTCTATTTCATTATACCAAACCAACTAACGACTTTAACCTAATTTTTTTCAATTTTGGCGGTTTCTGCCTGCTAATCAAAGAAATGGTGATTGTGCTGCTAAATCTGAGCAAGCATAGGGTGAATAATTTATGTATTCGCATTAATTAATACACGAAAAACTACACAAATGAAAGAGGCTTTGTGGTAGCCGTTTATAGGCCTATACACGGGTGTTTCAGAAATATACCGATCAACTTCCAGGGGTGGTAGGAGATAGCAAAACAAATATATTCACTTTATAAACATCGGAAACGTTTTCGTGATACAAGCACAGCACAACTAGGGTGTTTTAAACTTTTGAAAAATAGAGTTTTTTCCATAGAGAAATTTCATTGGCGCGTATCGCGTAATATTCAAACTTGACAAGGCGCCAAAATATTGGGGCTAATTTTAATAGCGCTTTCGACTTTTGCCTCAAAACTGCACCCGATTGATGAAAGAGCGATCCGGAACGAAACGGATTCACATGTTCGGTTTAAAACGGAGCGTCGAGATTCATGTGTTCCACTTGAGCAATAGAACGCTCTCATATCTCGCACATAGCGCTCTTTCTTGCTCCGTCAAATAATCTTGCAGGCAACCTACGTCTTTCAAACAAAACTACCTTCAATTTCAACCACGCAAATCTGAACGGGAGTGAACTCTGCGCCTACCGGTAGGTGCCGTTTGTTTCATTGATTGTGTGCCTACCGTTTATGTATAATGGTAAAACATTATGGTAGGTCCCCAATTGCTACATGATCGCCTATCGGTAGGTACTCTTTGTAAAAAGAATCCTGAGCCTACCGGTAGGGTCATAATAGGCCTATTCGGGTTTGGAAAAAGGACGGTTCTAGAACGGTTCAAAACAATCGTCCAGTTTATTGATCAACAAAATAACAATGACTCGACTATCACAAATTTCAATAATAAACTGTGCGATACTTCTGGACCGTTCTAGAACCGTACTTTTTCCAAACCCGAATAGGCCTATAAATTCAAGAATCCGTCGCCTACCCTACCTACTTTCTATTTACCTATCTAACGTAACTATGCCTGCATTCACAAGAAGGTGGCATATTTAAAAAAGGTTTTCCACGTTTTTGGTGGATTTATGCTTCCGAGGATCTTCTCTTTGAAGTTTGGCGAGCGGAGCAAGCAATCAGAGACTCGAAAATGATTAAAATTTCAAGGTGTTATATTTAATAAGGGTTTTTCATGTTTTTGATGGAAGGTTTTTCACGTTTTTGGTGGATTTACGTTACGGGGATATTCTCTTTGAGATTCGGCCAGCAGAGCGAGCAATCGGAGACTCAAAAATATTTTGAACAAGAAGGTGATATATTTGAAAAAGGTTTTTCACGTTTTTGGTGGATTTGCGCTCCCAAGGATCCTCTCTTTGAGGTTTGGCGAGAGTAGTGAGCAATCGAAGACTCAAAAACAAATTCAAGGTGAGTGTAGAAGAATTTTTAAAAGGTTGCCGTCTAGCCAATGAAGCAGATTCCAAACATCAACAAGTTTAAAGCCCAAATTGGAAAAATGTTAAGGTGCTAATAAAGGCCTATGTGGACGAATTTCTTAATGACTATACTACTACTAACAAACAAAATTTTATTAACGCATTTAGCATTAGCAAGAGCTGACTGATAGGATATATGGGTTCTAAAGTAATAAAACACCTTCCAGTAGGCGCTTGATCAATTGACGAAAAAGGACCTACTCTACCAGTAGGCGCACAATCGGTGGATGAAAAAGGACCTACTGGTAGGCGTACGATCGTTGAATAACAAAGGACCAACCGGTAGGCGTAGGATTCACTCCCAATCTGAACAGAAAAAGTAGGATCAATTCGATAACTGTCGCTTGTCAGTTGTTCATTTGGTGTAGAAAGCTTTCTTGTTTTATTTTTTTTATATATTTGATCTAGCTGAACCGGCATTATTTTTAGTTCACTTCTTGTGATCTAGAGTGCATGTAGATCATTTTTTTGTTGGTGATGGTAAACTCATCCAACTACAATCGAACACGGTCTGGTTCACCTAACTGTGCGTTCGGTATTTTGATTTGTTTTCCGAGCTTGAATTTACCATTCGTTTATTTAGAAAGTGTAGTCAGAGCAGGCTCATTTGCGTTCGTTTATTAAAATTTGCGGCACTAGGATATTGTTCAACTGCTCTGTTCGCTCGCTGGTCACGTGAATACAGCTCCGCTCAGCACGCTCTGCTCTTTGATCAAAATACCGAACGAAAAGTAAATTGAACCAGATCGATCTAATCCTCATCTGCGGTCAATCGAATGCAGCTCAGAATTCTGCATTGTACGCTGTCGCCTGTCACGCCTTATATGTCAAATTACACTCATGAGAAGCCGCACTTACAATAGAAAAAATCGGGTGTCCCACTTTCAAGAATATTAATTTATAGTAGAACCAAAGGTGGGTTCGCCTTGCTCACTCCGTGCACTCCGAGTGACTCCATTCGCACTCCAGCCGTTCGGGTTAAGGTTCAGGTACTGCTTTTCACCGTATTAGGGATGACTCCATTAGCTCTGTTCACTCCACTCCAACTCCGCGTTGAATAGCCGAACCCAGCTCAAGTATGCATAAAGCAAAAGCCCGCGGAATCATAACCTGTTGTGCAAACAGTCTAAGTCAAGGCGAGAAGCGACATGCTGCCACGTCACAACTGGTGATTTGGTGTGGTGGCCGTGGGGGGCTCCAGATTTGTTCTACACATGCCTTATGAGGATAGGATATCCTGTAGTAGTAGTCTGTATTATCCTTGATGTTTAGGCACCCCAGATGACGTCATAAAATTTATCAGGCAACCCCTTCGAATATAAAACTACAGGAAGGAGCATAACCTCGAATTTGCGCGACCAAAATATGTGGAGGTTGCATATGGCCGACTAGTGTTTCCGGTTTGGCAGTGGCCTATATTTATTTAAATATGATTTTCAATATTATGACTCACTCTTTTCGCACTAATCCCAGTGCTTATCATCACTTAAAATCGCTAAATTCCATTAAACATCCACTTGAATGAGGATACAGCGAACCACCAAAACGAATGATGAGTCCATACTTGGAGGCTCAAAATGACCGTTTCCGTCCCTGTAGTGACAGATAGAAAACGCTCCTTCCTGTAGTTTTATATTCAAAGGGCAGCCCGAGCTTCCTAGAGTAACAAATAACCTTGTAGGCATTAACCTACCTCTGTCAAACAAAACCAAGGAGAATATACACACTCTAGTAGGGAGTGCTTTATCGACCTCGTTTTTGGTAATCGCCTCCATATTGGTGGTGTTTCACCATTGCCGACGTCATAACTGAGTCGTCAACTGTTTAAACAGCCTACGTCAAGGCGAGAAATAACATGGCAATGTAGTCTCCTCACTCATACCACCCACAGGTCGTTCCGCACGTGAATTCCATCATCTTAGACTAACTCAAATATCGCAGATAAATAACGACCTGGAGATAATAGAGGACTGGGGTAACAAAAACCTTGTACAGTTCAACGCGCAGAAAACCCAAGCAGCTCTGTTTTCAAAAAAGACCAGCACCGGTGAGCCAAACATCATGCTATCTGGAAGTGCTGTCACATTACAGAGTCAGTTGAACATCTTGGGGGTTACTGCCGAGACCAACATGTCTTGGCACAGTCACGTGGCAGATATTGCTAAAAGGGCCTCCCAAAAGCTGGTGGTGCTATTTCGTACAAGACATCTGTACACACCAAGCCAATTGCTGACACTCTACAAAGCCCAGATTCGACCAACTATGGAGTACTGCTCACATATATGGAGTGCAGCACCCAAACATACCTTAATGCTTTTGAATACCGTGCAAAAACGAGCTATCAAGCTGATCAATGACCCCGCACTTACTCGTAACTTGGATGGTCTCGAACATCGCAGATCTGTGGGCGATTTATCTCTCTTCTACAGGTACTATCACGGAAAATGCTCTGAAGAGTTGGCACGTATGATTCCACCGAGAGTAGCACCTACCAGGCGAACCCGTCAAACAGACGGTAACCATGAATTTACTGTCAAACTAGAGGCACCAAGAACCTCATTATATCAGAATTCATATCTCTGGAGAACAGCATCGCTGTGGAATAAACTCCCTGCGACGGTTTTCCCAGCAGGTTACAACCTGAACCGTTTCAAGACCAACATACACCGACATTTCCGCGAACTTGCCGCTTCTCGAGCGTGATAGGACATTTCCTTGCGAGTGCGCATATCCGTAAAAAAAAAAAAAAAAAAAAACATCCTGCCTACGTCGCAACTGTTATTTTGGCGGGTGGGGGAAGGGGGGGAATTGTTACACACAGGCCCTATGAGGATAGGCCATCCTGTAATAGTAGTGCGTATCACCCTTTAAACAAAACAACCTTGAATTTCAACCTAGCAGATCTTCCTGATTTTGCCTGTACTGAACACGTTTAAGCCAGACTCACATTAGGCAAATTTACATATTGCCTGTACCAGTTTCATGATTGGCCAAGTGTACAGCAAGCACGTAACTGGAACGGACCTAACAGCTGCTTTTAATGTCCATTTTTGAGGCAAATTTTATGGTAGTGAGAACGACACGGGCAATTGGTGTCCAAACACAAACGTTGCCCTGGGGTATTAACACCTGCATAATTCCCTTGATACATAAATAACTATAATTTTGATTAACTTTCCGCGTATGGCTAAATTCAGCTGGGGTGCGATTTTCGAAACCATTCGAGTACATTTCGTACACGAAATTTGACTGACAGCAATGTAAATTAAGGCTGGGTTCCGTTGCCAACCTTGGTTACGGTTAGACGTTCCGTAATGTCTGGTTCCTGAAAAACCGGTCTATACGGAACGCGGTTGGTTATGTCAAACATGTCACCAAGGCAACCGGCGGCGATTCTGCGATTGGAAAAGCGTTCCGTATGAAACCGAAATTTTCAGCAACCACTTGTCAATCGTTGTCAACCGCTGTCAACCGACGTTGTACCAACCGGTTAACCAGGTTAGGCAACGGAACCCACCCTAAATGGGGAGCAGTCAAATTTCGTGTACGAAATGTACTCGAATGGTTTCGAAAATCGCACCCCTGGTGTAGGCACTGTGGTGGAATGGTAAAAAAAGCAATGTTGTAAAATTAAACAGAATTTGCGAGCTGTGGTTTGGCGTTAGCATAGTGATTAGTGAATCGCAATCACCGCATTCGTGGCGGTACAACATTTTGATGAATTTAGCCACACGCGGATAATAGGCAAAAAGGAGGATGCAAACGAGATCTAAAAAAGATTTATTTTAGACACTCTGCCAGAGTCATCACTGATTTTTTGCGTGGTGGGGGGTTTGAGATTTGAACTACACAGGCCTTATGAGGATAAGCTATCCTGTATAGTAGTAGTGCGTACAAGTTGTATTCCTTTCAAGAGTTTGAAACACTCGAGCTACTCGCTCTGGTGTTTAGTAGCCCCCGATTTGCAGGAAAAAGATGCGTGATGCAACAAACACTTTTCGAAAGGAATAGGCGCGTGAAGCCCCGAAGCTGTTCCGGAGCTCCTCCTAGGTGTGAAAGGAATACAACTACAGTGACTATCTATCACCACAGTGGCGACAATTACCGTCTCATTTTTGATTGATTTTTTAAAATCCTATATAGGGCACTTTCCAAATTTCACCGATAAATTGACCGGTTAAATAAATCGGTAGCTGTCAAAAAATTCCGGTAAAAGTTAGGTGTCAGTCCGGTTACAAGATTTTTCTGATGAATTTTGGAACGCTATAGCGTGTTAAAGTTTGGTTGTGACGGTTATGTTGTGACAATTTAACGAACAACTGCCGATAGTGCTGTGATAGTGCGATTCTTGGATAGTGCCCATTCAAAGCAATTGATGTACGTCAAAAAAAAAATTGTCAAAAAATCTCCAACTGAAAAAACCGACAAAAATTCCCGGTGCGTCACCGGTTTCAAACAGCTGATCATTCCGGTCAATTTTGGAACGGACGATCTGGTTCAACCGGTAAAAAGTCGGTTAATTTTGGAACGGTTTGTTGAGTCAACTATTAAACCGGTATCGCACCGGTTCAGAAACCGGTGAATTTTGGAAAGTGCCCATATTCATATGGAAAACGCCGCCATTTTGGGGCCCACCTCTTATGCCCGATTGCACCGTCTCTCTTAACTGAGGCTTAACGATAACTATCCCTTAAATTGACAGTTTTGCATGGGAAAATGTCACTTTAAGGAATAGTTATCTTTAAGCCTCGTTTAAGAAAGACGGTGCAAACGGGCATTACTAATTTTAAATATGAATATATAGGATTTAAATGAAAATTTAAGGTCTGTTACCACAGAAATCACAAACTAGTCAGAGCGAATTTCATTGGTTGAAAATAATCAGGGAACTGGAAACCAGGCCTTTGTCACTGTAGTAGTGTGTATTGTATTATCCTTGCAATTTTCGTTACTCGTCAAACTCAACTCTGCCCTAGAATCACTCTCTGTTACCTTCCTTCCCAATTTAATTAATTAATTAATTAAATAGATTAATAAAATTAAATTAATTAATTAAATTTATCTTTATTTTCTTACTATTTTGATCCGAACTCTTTTCAAGTTTTCCTCCCTTTGCTCTGAGTGTAACTGACTCTCGCTCCAATGTTATCTACGGAACATTCAGAGCTAATCAGAACCAGAACTGTCAACTGTCATTACCATAACCCAACTTTGTAAATTCAAAATTGTGCTAATTTTTATTTCTCAATAAAAAAATAGTGAAGAATTTTTAATGTAAATGGAAAGTGATTGATGATTTAATGGTTTACAAAGTTTAAAAACCTAAAAACTGTTTCTGTTCTTGACTGTTGTATATTAGATTTTTTTTTGAAATATGCCTCCTTGCTCAACAAAGTGTGGTAAAAATGCGATTTTGAAAAGACCCAAAACAGGTGATACCCTATGCAAAGAATGTTTTTTCGAAGCATTCGAAAACGAAATTCATTTCACCATTCGACGAGCAAAATTATTTAGACCGGGTTCCACTGTAGCTGTAGCAGCCTCTGGTGGCAAAGACTCTACTGTGTTAGCCTATGTTCTCAAGTTATTAAATGAAAAATACAAGTACGATTTGAAACTGGTGCTACTTTCAATTGATGAAGGCATTACTGGTTATAGAGACGATAGTTTGGATACAGTTAAGCAGAATAGGGACGATTACGAAATGCCCTTGACTATTATGTCGTATAAAGATTTGTATGGATGGACTATGGATGAAATTGTGGCAGAAATAGGAAGAAAAAATAACTGCACGTTTTGTGGTGTTTTTAGGAGGCAAGCACTTGATAGGGGTGCTAATCTATTGAAAGTAGATTATTTGGCTACTGGACATAATGCAGATGATATAGCTGAAACTGTTTTAATGAACATTCTTCGTGGTGATTTGGCTAGATTAAATAGGTGTACCTCAATAATAACTGTAAGTATTAGAAGTTGAATATATTTTAGTCAAAACTAATGTTTTTTTTTAGGATAGTGGCGATGGAATTCCTAGAGTTAAACCATTAAAATACACATTCGAAAAGGAAATAGTAATGTATGCCTACTTTAGAAAGCTCGTCTACTTTTCAACAGAATGTGTCTTTGCTCCAAACGCCTATAGAGGCCATGCCAGGGTGCTGTTGAAGAATCTTGAAAAAATTGATCCAGCAATTATAATGAATATAATTCATTCAGGTGAAAGTTTGAAAGTTAATGAAACTGCCAAAATTCCCTGCTTAACCAGATGTACTCGGTGCAACTATGTTTCTTCACAGGAAATTTGCAAGGCTTGCATTCTATTGGAAGGTTTAAACAAAGGGTTACCAAGATTGGGAGTTGGCAAATCTAGTAGGGTGAAAAGGTTATTGAAAGAAAATGAAGACAAAAATAAAAGTTGCCATCAAGAGACAGGGTGTTGCAAGATTGATAATGACACAAAGATAGAATGTGCTTGTAAAAAGAGTATCGCATTAACCTAATAGGTATTCTATTCTATATTAAAATTTGCTTACATTTTATATTCTTCTAGGCCTTTATTTTGGGTTTACTAAATTTAATTAAATAAACAAAACATTGTTATAATTTATTGAGTAATAAAGAAAAGTAAATTGTTATGTTATTCACTACCTACAAGTTGTATTGTCAAGTTGGGTTTTCCAAGTTTTCCCTCTGATTATGGTTTTCCCTTTTATGAACGAGAACGAACGCGTTCTATTAGGGTACTTGCATGGAAAATTAAATTGATTATTGGTTATTGCAAACTGTAGGAAATCGATCTGTGTTTTTTTATTTTGTCCAAATATGATTATTTCGAAAGTTATACAAATATTGAGTTTTGCATATATAGATATACTGAGCATGGGCGACGTCACAACGTATTATAAGTTATGACGTCAGAAGGGCATTTCAAAGCGTTGTATCTCCGTCAATTATTAGGTCTGTTTCTGCGGAAATCACAAACCAGTCAGAGTGAATTTCATTGGTTGAAACTAGTTTTCAAGAAAAAGAAAAAACACGTGTTGACTTTAATTTTTCATGGACTATCAAAATCAGCAATAGGTCTGTTTCTGCACAAATCACAAACAAGTCAGAGCAAATTTCATTGGTTGAAAACAGTCAGAAAACTAGTTTCAACCAATGAAATTTACTCTGACTGGTTTGTGATCTCTGCAGAAACAGACCTAATAAAAAAAATTGATGCAAGGGGCCTAGTAAACTAACAGGATTGCTCATCCTGCAAGGCGTACGTTCGCCAATTCTCGAGTCGGCAAGGCCTGCGAGTGACGTCACCACTATCAGCAACTTATAGTGGTGACGTCACCCGCAGGCCTCGATGGGATGCTTGCGATTCAGGCTGTGCTTGTGAGTTGATTTTTTCGTCGATTTTAAAAAGCAGTCCTATTGGCCGTTTGCAGGTCAATGTTCTTGGATGTTTCTACTGTGGCAGCTTATAGTATCGATATAACATCTTCGTTCGCATCGATATGCTCCATTATCGAGGGCGTACCGATATATCGTATCGATAAACCCGTCTCTAATGGCGATTTCCATTTGTCATCAGTGCCGAACTGAGTGTATCCGCATCTTTTTCTAAAAGCATGTAACATGTAAGGATAAGGATACATTTTTTTTTGCCCTGATACGACAAATGGAAAACGCTATAATTTCATCCTACTTCCCCTCCTCTATTCACCAATTGTGACATGACTTGTGACGTGACACTTGCCATGCGTTTCCAATTTGTTCTAGGATATTTTTCTTTTTCATTTGAACGTTGAAAGTGTAACATGGCGCCCGTAAGTAATTTATCAAACAAAATCTACGAATATCCTGATAATCCCTCAATACTTCTTAAATTTTACATTCGAATAAAGAAGAAATGTGTCTAGTGAATACTTTTCAGAAAATATTTTTTTCTCTAAAGACCCAAACGTTGTCGACTATGACAATGCGGTGGCCCCCAAAAACTAGTCTGGTAGAAAGACAACTAATTTTGTTGTTGATTCCAGACTAAACCGGCCGTAGCCGTGGGAAAAGCTGCCCCCAAAACCGCCGCTAAAACTGCCCCAAAGAAACAACAGTTGAGAGGCAAAGGTCTGAAAAAGAAGAAGGTTTCTTTGAAGTTTGTGATCGACTGCACACATCCTGTTGAAGACAGCATTTTGGATGTACAAAACTTTGTAAGTAATTTCTTTTTTTGTATTAGTTAAGGCTCCTTCAAATTTCTGTTCCAATTTATGCAGTTCCAGCTCCACACAATGAAAATAAACCCAAGTTGCATGTGGCGTTTTATACTGCAAAATTAAATGCTACGCCTCGCTATGTTTGCTAGTTTAACTATTAGCTAGTATTAATACAATGGCCAGCAACAATTAATTATTATTTACTTGGAAGGTATTGGTGAAAGATTCTTAACAATTTTATGAAAAATTCGAGGAAAAATTAAACATATTACATATACCTAGTTTTAAACCAAGGGTTAAATGTCTTGGGAGCTGAAATTTGTTTTACAATTCTTTAATATTATTTTTCTATTCTAGGAAAGTTACTTGAAAACCAGGATCAAGATCAATGGCAAAACCAATAATTTTGCTGCTGGTAAATCTGGTCAACATCAGGTCACCCTGAGCAAAGAAAAGAACACCAAAATTGTTCTGAGCTCAGAAATTCCTTTCTCCAAAAGGTAAGAGTCTTATATAATATTGATTTATCAAATTTTCAAGCAGTCCCAGCTCCACACAACGAACAAACCTAGTTGCAATGTGGCGTTTAGTACTGCAAAATTAAATGCTGCACCTCGCTATGTTTGCTAGTTTTTTTTTTAATAGCTAGTATTAATACAATGGCCAGCTACATTTTTGACAAATTCAATGAATATTTATATGGGTCTTTGCAATCTTTGCTCAATTTTGCATTATTTTTTCTAGGTACTTGAAATACCTTACCAAAAAATACTTGAAAAAGAACAACTTGAGAGATTGGCTCCGTGTCGTCGCCTCTGGAAAAGACTCCTACGAACTTAGATACTTCCAGATCAACAACCAGGAAGATGATGAGGATGAAGATGTTGAGTAAACTTAAGTTTTGTATCAGTTGACAATTAAATAATTAAAAAATAATTTGTTTTATTTGTATGACTGCTTTAAAACCAAGAATCATTTTTGTGAGCCTAATCTAAATAATCAGGAAATCCAAAAACTAAGGACTGGAAATCGTTAACCCATTGATGGGCGTGCCTGCATTTGCAGACAGGTGTCTAGGGACGCGTCTGTATTTGCAGACAAAAGTGGTAGTCCTCAAAGTGTCCCAGTAAATGAAAAAAAAAAAGATTGAGAAGTGTCCACACACCTTCATTCCATGGGAAAAAAATGTGAAATAATATAGAAAAATTATAGTGTCCCCCACGTGGTCCCCTTTTTCGCCTAGCGCCCATTAGGGTTGCCACCTTTTGATTTCCGAAAACCCGTACATAATCGAAGCTAACTTTTTTTTGTGGCATAATTTACACTCATATCTGTAATAGTATATTACATTACGAGTGTAGAAAGTGACAAATTTCACACGAGTGTTTTTTCGCGCGAGGCGGTAGCTGAGTGCGAAAATCACACGATTGTATGAAAGACGCTTTCTCACAAGTGATGTACACCATTTTTCCTACGACCAGAATCCGATTTACACCACTTTTCTCTTATTTTATTTCTCTCCATTTTCAACATACGTGTTGAAAGTACTTTCAATCCACGTATTGAAAGTAAATTGGGATGTCAATCACAAGTAATGTCAACAGTATTTTCCACACGCGTGCGGAAAGTACTTTTAGCAAGCGTATTGAAAGTACTTTCAGCATGTGTGTAATATTTCGCGCTTTCCAAAGAACCAGCTAGTGCGGATTTTGTCATTTTCGTATGTGGTCGTAGGAAATAGTTATTTTCCTAACAAGTGCGCAAAGTGTTACTTTTCCGCACGCAAACACAGTTATACGAACGACGCGAAGCGGAGTTCGGATACGTGTTTGCGTGCGGAAAAGACACTTTGCGCACGTGTTAGGAACAAAATTTTTCCTACGAGCTTCATATCAGGTAGGTAACAACAAAAATTTAAAAAAAAAACGATAATTTGTTTAATTATTTTTAATTAACTTGAAGGGAACCTATGCATTTATCAAAAAATTACATAACAAAAAAAAAATATAACAGAAAATCATCGTCAGAGCTCTTCATCTTAAAGCGTTTAATGGCGATTTCCATTTGTCATCAGTGCCGCACTGAGTGCATCCGCATCTTTTTCTAAAAGCATGTAACATGTAAGGATAAGGATACATTTTTTTGCCCTGTTTCGACAAATGGAAAATGCTATAAATTTGATGAGAAAGTTTGTAGATGCATATATATAGAAAACAAATCTGACAATGTGTTGAAGTTAATTAAATTTGGTGTTTGTAGGTATAGATGTTAGCTGGAACAGGAACAGAGGAAAAATTTGTCATCATGTGTCAAAGTCGACAGGTGTACTTATTGTTGCTTGACAATTATTTTTACTTTTCGGCACTCAGTGCGGATAAGGCCTGTATTCGCACTGAGTGCGGAAAAGTGCAACTTTGAGAACCGAAATGCGTGCGGAAAAGTACTACTTTGCGCACGCTCGTAGGAAAAATGAATTTTTAGACAAAAATTAAAAAAGGTACCTACCTACCTAATTTTAGACGCCACCTCTTGTCTATTAAAAAAAAAAAAAAAACAGAGACACTTGTAAGTGAACAGGAGAACGACACAATATATACATAATTAGGGACTTGTTTTATAGTAGGATAAACGTAGCTGCATAACATAGGTGGGGGTGCAACAAATTAGCAACAAGCTGATTTCAGCGGAAATGTTTAGTAACCAACCTCCTATTTAACCTCCCAAAAGTCCCATTCAGTCCTAGGGGTGGAAGGTTGCAAAAAAATGGCTGCCATATTGGATTTTTTGTTTTTGTCAAATATCTCAGTTTCTATTAGTTTTTTCAAGAAAACTCAAGAAACCTTTTTTGTGGAGAATTTAATTCTCTATTAAAAGTGTTTCTACGTTTTTTTTTGTAACATGAAGGATAACGGAGATATTGTTTTTTTTTTAGAATTTGATTTATAAATTTTTCACTTTTGTTGAAGATCCAAAAAAGTGATCCACCAAAGTAAGTAGTATATTCGCTCCGTATAAATTGCAAGTTTTTAGGGTCTCTATTGGTCATATTGATCGTGTGTGGAGTCATTTTGTTTGTGAAATTGTGATCTTTTCAACCTTGTAAAAATTTTTCTAGACTTTATTTTTGGTGAGCCAACAAATCCAGTTTAATTACTGGGATTCAAATAGGAATAGAAAAAAAAGGTAAATTGTATTACTTATCAGCAGCACAAAAATTTGCAATCTCATTGGTCGGCCAGTTATCCGCCAACCAATAGAATAATAGAATAATAAATTTATCTTGCAGATAGTTACCAGCAAGTTTATGTGAAGATGAATAAACCGGGCCTAAGCCAAATAAACATTCTGTATTAAATTTTATTCCTACCATAATCAATCCTGATAGGGATCTACCTGTGATAAGGCCTGCTTCCAAAAGGAAGAAAAATATTAGCTTTTTGGCCATGTGACATTTGTCGCAAGGTTCTATGCAGAAATTGCTCTGGAGTAAGGAGCTCTGAGATTCGAGTTCTCCTAGTGAAAGTACGCTGCCTGAGATATTTTTGTCCAAGCTGTATGGACTGCTGCTTCCAAGCACTGCCGGAGTTGAGCTCAAGACTTCACGCATTCGAAGCAGAGATGGAAAAGCTCAAAACCAACCAAAGAGTTGTGCTATTCAATCAGAATTGTGTGTTATCGAGGATGATGTAGCAAAATTAGATAGAGGGTTTTCTCCTATTCCTGCCAATAGTTCTATTCCTTTTATACCTAGGAGGAGCTCCGGAACAGCTCTAGGACTTCACGCGCTTATTCCTTTCGAAAAGTGTTTGTTGCACCACGCATCTGTTTATCTGCAAATCGGGAGCGACTGAACACCGGAGCGAGTAGCTCGAATGTTTCAAACTCTTGAAAGGAGTACAACTATTGGCCAGCTCACTATAGATGGTATTAAAAACGGAATGGGCTGGAAGGCACCTGCAAAGCCATTCTGGATTCTAATAAGGAACTTGTTGCATTCATGTCCAAGTCCTATACACGCCTGGCAAGTAAACATCTTGCATATCAATTTTAATGCGATAAAATGAAATGTCTAGAGAAAGTCTAAGGTTGAATAGAGAACGAAAATGATTTCCTCTGTTCCACCTCTAGCCTTCCCAGCGCTTTTTACTGGAAGTGGAACAGGGGAAATCGTTTTCGTTCTCTATTCAACCTTAGACTTTTTCTAAACATTTCGAAAGGGATAAAAGTAAAGAAATGTTTGAAATATTTACTATAAAAAGCTCTGTATCTCCGTTATCCTTTATGTTACAAAAAAAAAGTACAAGGACACTTTTTATAGATAATTAAATTCTTCACAAAAAAGGTTTCTTGAGTTTTCTTGAAAAAACTAATAGAAACTGAGATATTTGAAAAAAATCAAAAAAATCCAAGATGGCGGCCATTTTTTGCAACCTTCCACCCCTAAGACTGAATGGGACTTTTAGGAGGTTAAATAAAAGGTCACTTACTAAACATTCCCGCTGGAATCAGCTTGTTGCTAATTTGTTGCACCCTGACCCCCAGATTGACTCAGCTATTATTAGGCAGACAAGCACAATTTCACGCATAATCCACTTTTTTATATTTATCAATTGCGCTGATAACGTTTGTTGAATGGTTAGCAACGAACTTTTCTGCCTAGCCAGAAAAAGTCCATTTTTCCATCGCTAATTGGAAATCGGAGACGTTCGTGACACACCCGTCATTCAAGAAGTAGGTACGTTCAGAAATTAGTTAGGTATATCCTAAGGCATTCAGCAATCGCCTTTATAAATTTTATATTAAGTATTAATTATTATTAATTATACAGTTATCCAGATATTCCCGGCAGGGATGTGCGTCTACACGTAGACTTTCATTGTCTACTTTACGTGTAGACAATGTAGACAACGTGTCAACAATGTAAAATAATATAAATGACGTTTAATTATAACCTCACACTTTCCTTTTTTTAATTTTTTTTTATTTTATTATTGGTTTTCCTGATATTTTATAATCAGTGAATGCTGATATCGAAGTGATAGTGATAGTATAGTAACTTTTGATATTTTTTTTCGAATTTTTTAAAATAAGTTATTGTTTACGCCGCATGTAGACAATGTGTAGACAAATGCTCACGTAAACAATTCGAATTGTCTACGCGTAGACAATCAATTGTTTACGTTGACATTGTCTACAGGCACATCACTGATTCCCGGACATTCTCATCATCATGCGTCCGGACTCCGGACAAACCTTTAAAAAACCGGACAGTCCGGGTGAAAACCGGACAGGTGGCAACCCTAGCGCCCATCAATGTGTTAAGTTAGTGGTTTTAGTGAAAATATCTTTCATGCAATATTTATCAGCAATGACAAAACTTGATAAGTGATAGATTTCCACTTCTGGCAAAAATGTTATGTAAGCACAGTTTATACCGTACCGATACAGTTGTTCAACTCCGTTGACAAACCATTGATTTTTTTGAAGCCAAATTCTATGTCCCTATATTTCGCGCTTGCGCATTATTGATGGGAAACAACGAATCCTGGGCCGTGGACAGAGTCGGACTAGGATTTTTTGTGGATTAACATTGAGAATATAACGGGATCATATTATAATTTCGAAACAAATAATATAATGATTGCAATGGGGCATAATACTACATAGTTTAAAAAAAAAATTAGCCATCACTAAGTTTTTACGCAAAAAAGTTCACTGGCTCTTAGACCATTAGGACACAGCCAGGATTTCAATCCCATCCAGATTTGCATCACAGTATTAGATATTTTTTGAATGTGGACAATTATTTCATGAGATCAAGATTATGTGAATGTATAGAGTAAACCTAATATGAAATATGTAAATATAAATACTTACAGTCGTTCATCGTTCGGGAAACTAAAATATCCTAAGTCTGGGCTAGTTCTAGTGTTGTTTTTACAGACAAAACAGGAAACAACCATGATAATACACAATATATAAACGATAAAACAGCCAAGTACCTACACAAAAATCGCGAATAACACGGAAAGCAAAACACTCTTAACAAAGCCGAATTTCAAATTGATGAATTTTCCGGTTACTTTTCAATTTCCTGAATAATTTCAGTCTTCTTCTCTTATTTTTTTGTAATACAATCCTGTTGCGTGTCTCGTTTGACCGTTATTTCTCGCGGGTTCTCACCCAAGCTATCTCTATCTCTTTTTTGCGTGCAGGATTGGAAAGAGACATGTATATGCCGAACTGCTTTTTCAATTTGAGAGATTTGTTCACTCATTGAGCGCATGCGCAAGATATGGGTCAAAATTCAAAATGCTCCTATTAGCTTTGTTCGCGGGTCCGATTCCGAATCGGTTCAGGGACTATTCGCATGCGCAGTGTAAAAAGTGGCGTTCGCGGATAATAAAATTCTGAATTTTTAGTAACAGTTCTACGTTCGCGGATCACATAGAACTGGTTTTAATTGATTCGGAATCGGTTCTAGCAGTCCCAGGATTTTTGTTAGGACTAAAAGTTCGGTTCGGCTGCTCATGCGTAATTTCGTCAGACTTGTCAGCTGACTGGTGTTTAATGGTATTATTTGCGTTTTTGAAATTTGGAATTTGGGTTTTTTATTCATTTATACGCTGAAACGATAAACTATACGCTTGTATTTTCCTACGGAGTTTATAGTTTACTGAATTTGCAGTACAGTATTGTAAGTTACTTATCTCTATTCAATCTAATATATTTATTTATATGCACAATTTTAGTGATCTTTTTTTCATCTAAGTACCTACTAGTCGGACCATTTGTCATCTACCGATGAGGACAAGGAAGAATTAGGGCTTGTTTAAGTTCCTTAAAGAAATGTAATTTTGAGGAGGTGATGCCACATTTCAGGGATGGACAATGTATAGAGCATTTTCGAATTTTGAATAAAAATAAATATTATATCTGTTCTGTTATTTTTTTTTAATTTATAAAAATCAAATAGCTAAGTTTCACAAATCACATAAGTAATGTTTAAAAGTATTCGGCTTTCGGTTCCAAAATCGTTCGCGGTAAAAAGAAATCCTGAACCGATTCTTAACTAGGCGTGCGCTCTACGACAATCCCGAATTAGTTCTGAACCGATTCGGAATCGGACCCGCGAACAAAGCTGGTTGGAGAATTTGGCCTCAAAAAATATGGAGAGTTGTACAAATGTAAGTACCTAAGTATTGCATTAGCATTGGTTGATGCTGTACTATGAAGATAGGGTCCTAATAGGGACCTAAACTGAGCCGCTTTCCAGTGACGAATTTCAAGGTGCACCACACCCGTAGCTTCACACTCAACACGGAGCTCCAAACAACTCGTATTTCACTGGAACACACCCTACTGGCGCCTCTAAACTTTAATGCACTGGAATGCCTTTAAACAGCCTGGGCGCTCTAGAGCAGCTCAGGAGTGCTTAAGTACGTCACTGAAAAGCGACTCTGATCTCCAATTTTATTTAATGAACAATTTGGATTTGGTTCTGGAGCATTCGTTAAATTTATTGGAGCACGGTGTGAATCCGCCTTCATTATTTATTTATCCATCATTTTCAAATCAGCTAAAGCTAACCTCACTTTCGTTAACACTATCATTTTGAAAAGTTTACTACAGATTGTTTTCGTTTATTTTTGTTTTAAAAAATGTTTTTACGAACTTTAGATAATAAATTGACCAATCAAATATTCTACAGTTTCAGGAATTTCCCAAAAACAGCTCTTTCTTTCAGTGCCACAAAGAGACTGTCTTCTGAAGACTTGATACAAATTGCTTTGTCAAATGTTAAAGTAAAGAAACCAGGAGACTGGACTAGAGTAAAAGAATTTGTTTTTGCACATGAATCGAATAGATCTCAATTTTATGGGGCGCACAATATCGATGGCATCATTATGGGAACTTTGGGCAGGATAGAGAGGTAAGAACTTTGCAAGCAGTAAAATACTCAATGTAATGTAATACCTGGGATGGACTGAGAACTAAAGGTCTGTTCCCACAGGAGTCTCTGACAGTTTGCAAACTGTCAGTAAGCATCGCCCATACATGTTTTCAATGCTGTCGTTACAAGATAAATCTGTAACTCAGCTGAGCGATTGTTTCTGACAGGTTGCAAACTGTCAGAGACTCCTGTGGGAACAGACCTTATGACATCACATTACAACCACACAACGGATTATACAAGCTGAGAGGCTTGAAAACCAGAGCCAGAGATGCTTTTTGTGCTGCTTGCTCCGAATCTTTGTCAGTGATTATATGTACAGAAACCTGGCTAGACTGTAGTATCTGTAACGCAGACCCAACTGATATTAAGAAGGTTTTAATGCAAGTGGACACACTCTATCTAATATTTTTAACAAATCCTTAACTTCTGGATTTTTTCCAGAAATGTGGAAGCTCTCTTGTGTTTGTCCTATTCACAAGTCAGGCAGCAAAAATGAATGAAATGAAATGAAATTAAAATATCTTTATTTAAATAGGTTAACCTAATATACAAAAAAAAATTATACAATATAATAATTTGTCCCTTAACTTGCAAAAGTACAAGAGTATTCACTTAAACAATATTCCCATTCCTACATAAAACACCAAAATTCCATATATTCACTGAGATATTCACTAAAACCAGTACTTATAACAGGCCCAACTCAAATTTAACTTATAACTACTTGTTCTCTAAAACATATTGCCTAATGCCGGTTTTCCCACCAAACCGACAAAACAAAAACAAAACTTAAACTCAGACAAAAATCTAACTTTTCTCAAACATTTTCAAGATTAGCGTGTTTTGTGACACTTGGAGTATTGTTTTTCGGGTTAATTTCGAGTTTTAAAACATGTTTTAAAACAAACTCAACAGTCCGTTTGGTGGAAAACCGGCATAACATTAAACATTATTGATTCAATACAAATATTCTCAATCTCTGTCTGAAAACAGTGAAAACCCCCTAATAAATCAGATTCCTTTACATTATTTGAAAGCCTATTAAATTCTTGCAATCCCTTAAAAAAGAGACAATTCATTATACATTATACTCCTATAATTGGTTCTTGAGATATGCAGGCTATTGATATTTCTTGTTGAGTATTCATGAATGTCTCTATTATAAACTATATATTGGTTGAAAAATTCCGATGCCAACCCGTTCAAGATCTTATAAATAAATAGCATGGTAAAAACGTGAATTCTAGGTTCAACAGAAAACCAACCCAATGTTATAAACAAAAATCTTAGTTTGAATAGTTAAATTGTTTGCAATTCTACTAAAAAAATACACTTTTTATGATATTTTTTTGCTCATATATTTAGTGCTTATCAAAATTCAACAAACTATCCATTTGAAACCCAAGATATTTAATATTGGATCTCAATTAAGTGACCATCCACTCTCAACATTATATCATTTCTAGTTTCTACATACTTCTTATACTTGAATTTGTTCGTCAAAATCATAGCTTTAGTTTTCATGACATTCAAATTTAGTTAATTCGCTACCAAATACTTTGAAGTATTCTTCAGAATAGCATCCATTTTATCCACAGCCCTGTTAAGATCTGTGTCCCTGCAAGCCAGGAAAGTATCGTCGGCAAAGAGGTTAATAAAATCACAATCAATAAATAGCTCAATGTCGTTAAAATACATAATAAAAAGAAGGAGGTCCAGGACCGAGCCCTGAGGAACACCGACTTCATTCACCATCTCTTTAGAAAGTGATCCACCAAATCTCACCCTCTGTCCACGATCCTGCAGATAGTCTACAAACCAGTCAAGCACACTACCACGAATTCCATATTTCTGCAACTTCAACAATAATATTTTTCGATCAATAGTCTCAAATTCCCTTTTCAGGTCCAAAAACTCACCCACCACATATTTATATTTATTATTAGATATCCAGATCATTTGTTATTTAGCATAAAGTTAATTGTAATGCAGATTCACAGGAGTGCTTCTGCCTGAACCCAGACTGATTGTTTACCGAAATAGCGCTATTTGTGATATGTTCGAGCAATTGATCATAAACAGCCCTTTCCAAAACCTTCTCTATCGGTGGCAGTGTATTGACCGGTCTGAACTCCTTAGCGTGAATGGTACCATTGACCTTTTGAATGGGGATAACAATACTAGATTTTAGTGCCTTGGGAATTCTTCCAACACTTGAGATGCATTCACCAAATTTAAAATAACATGACCTATTGTTTGAAAAACCTCTTTTAGCATTTTACAGTTAAGAATTTCATTTATAGAAAATTTGTTGTTTAGACTGGTAATAATTTTTGCAAGGTCATTAACAATAACTGAAAATAATGCATAGGTTGATAGTTATTATAATTTAAAAAATAACTGCATTGCAATACTGGAATACTTGCAACAACATCTATTAAGTATACTACTTTTAGAATATTTATTAAAGGAATCAGCGATCTCATTACCATCTCTTAATGTTTTAGTTTGACCACCCATTTCAAAACATACAGCATTGGGAACATCCTCGTTATTTCCACTCACTAAACCGAACACTAAACTTTCCAAAGTTTTCCTCATTTCTGCTGGGTTATTCCTAAACCTATCTATTTTTTCTACATAATATTGGTCCTTCTTAGCTTTCAACAGACCAATGACTCGGTTTCTTAAACCCTTAAAAATTTGCCATTTTACTGCTTTTTCATTGTCAGTGGCTGTGACAAAGGTCTTATAGGCTCGATGCCGCTCCCTAATCCTATCAAAAACCTCATTATCGAACCATGGCAGCTTTGATTTATATTTACAAACTTGAACGGGTGCAACACTGTTAACAACTTTTTCACAATTTGTGGATATTTCTTGATAGATAAGATCAACATCTACAGTGTCTAAATTCCAGTTACAATTTAGCATATTTGTTTTAATGATATTTAAATTAGATTCACTAATATTTCTATACTTTTTCGTAACATCATTACATACTTTTGTACTAAAAAGATTTACACTCAATATCATCCTGTCTGCAATTCCTGAATTATTTGGGCAGTGTGTTGAAAAAATTCTTTCGAAAATATTTCGTCAGATTGTGAATTGTGATCAATTAACAGCACGGTTTTAAAGCCGGTAGATCTGTTGATACGAACCCTTTTATAAATTTGTTATTTGATAACAATGCAGAAATTCATGCAAGGTAAACCACACCATCGTTCTATCAAAGCTCTCAAGTTATAGCGTTTCTGGTGTGGACTTTTACTTTCATGGATGAAATCTTACCTTAGTAACAGAATGCAACAAGTCAAGATCGATGGCGATCTTTCTTCTCCTTTCCATGCATCCTCTGGGGTACCTTAAGATTCTCACTTGGGCCCCTTCTATTCAGGTCATTTATCAATTTAGGATCGTTGCTAGCTATCAATTTTTTTAGTATTCGCTGATGACTTGAAATTGTATCGTTAGGTGATTGTAACGGTTTTAGTTTTCCGGGACTTACGGCCAATTTCATAATCAACTTAAAGTAAACTTTAAATTGAAAGCTCCATTTGAAGTTGAAAAATCCTATCCTAAAAGTCCATTTAGCTAAAGTAACTTTTAATTCTCTATTATGAAATTGGCCGTTAGACCTTAAAATTAGAGCAGACAGATAATTTTTTTCTGATCAAGAAATCAATTTTCTGATTATAAATACATAATAGGAAAATGATGCATATGAATTTAAGAAAAGAAATATATATATTTGAGAAAACTCTAATTGAAATAGATGAGTTAATTGAAGCTCGAATAGGGAAAGTAAATAGGTACTTACTTTATTATTCAGCTAATCGTATTAAATAGGTGCCAAGGCCGAACGAAATTAATCACTGTAGTACCAAAATAGTTGTTGAACGCAAATATTCCAAGCACCAATTTTTTTTTGAGGAAACCTGAATTCTTGGTTCCTTCAGTTCGAGTAGCGCTTTCTGCAGTGCTGCATCTAAAAGTGTTCTCGAGGCATTTTCTGCCGATCTATTTTGCCGAATTGTACCTTAATTGGTTTTGGGTGGCTAACGACTTTTGTATAGCATCCTGAGCGAAAAATTGCTGATTTCGACCAAGCTTTTTGGGCATAAAACCAAAAGAATTTCTCAAATTCCTCGATAGCAATTTATCACCGCCTGATATCTCTGGTAAGTGTCATTAATCTTTATCAGGTGGAGTGAAAAATATCATCCACGCTATTCCATACTTCTATTTCAGGCCATTCTTTTATTCTTCCCATTCTTTGTCTCTACCTCCCTCCAACCCCCATTGTTGTTCAACTCTTTTCAGTTGGCTACCTACATCTGTTTCCTGAAGACCAGAAAAATAAAAGAAAAAGAAAGAAGCACGAATTTGGATTTTGCACGGATTTGCTGGTTTGGAGTTTGTTCCAAGTAAGTTAGGCCAATCCGGATAATAACTTCTTCACCTACGGTAGCTAAGGAAATTTTAAGAAACAAAAATAACCTTAATGAAGAGAATATATACTTCAAAGCGGATCAAACACCTCTCCAGAGAACACACCTAAAAGCTGTTCTTAAAGATCTCGACGAACGTAAGTCAAAAAGCAAGAGGGAAGCAAACATAAGGCTCAGATATATTAATAATGTACCAAGAATAGTTTCTTCTCACAACGAGGGAAATAAAGATTCAATAAACTAATTGAATCATTTATTCAGGTTTCCTTTTGGTATAGTAACCTATGCTCTATGGTAAATAAACTTGACGAACTGAAAATTAGCATACAACAAACAGATCCAATAACTATCATCTTGATTACCGAAACATGGCTGACCAATCAAATACCCGATAGCATTGTGCACATACCAGACTACATATGCTACAACCGAGTTGAAAAATATCGTGTTCACTCCGGAAAAAGTTGAAACTGCAGTAAAATCACTTAAACTATCATCAAGTCCAGGGCTCGACGAAATCCCTCCTGTCTTCCTCAAGAACTGTATTTAGGTGCCAAAGGGGCCACTAGCTGACATGCTTAATAACATAGCAAGAACAGGGGAACTCCCTGCAACATGGAAAAAAACAGTGGTGACGCCTATTTATAAAAAAGAAAATAAACAGCATGCGGAAAACTATCGACCTATTAGTTTAACGAGTACACTGTGCAAATGTATGGAGAAAATAATCGCAAAAGAGCTCACACAATTTTTTATGGTCACACGAGTCATACCCGATCAACAGCACGGCTTTCTTCCCGGGAAATCGACGATTACAAATCTCCTAACAAGACTCAACCACTGGACACTGTCAGATGACAACACTGATCTGACAACCACGAACCAATCGATGTGAGTTATCTTGACTTCCAAAAAGCATTTGACAAAATACCAAGTCGAAGACGTCGGAGTTAGGGGCAATTTACTCCAGTTGATCGAAGGATTCCTCACAGGAAGAACTTTTCAGGTGCGTGTGGGTCCAACATTTTCGAAAGAGCACAAAATGCATAGTAGAGTACCACAGAGATCAGTTCTCGGTCCTCGACTCTTTATTGCCTATTTAAGTGATCTATATATAGGGCTGGAAACAAGAAATGCATGTTTTGCTGACGATGGAAACATTTATGGAAATCCACTTTCGCAACATGCTGCTATTCAGAGACCTAAACAATATCAAAGAATGGACACAGCTATGGAAAATGCCCTTGAATGATTCCAAACGCACAGTCCTACATATTGGTCAGAACAACCCTAAATTGAATTACTTTTTTGAACAGTTTCAAATAACACCTGTCATACAACAGAGAGATCTAGGAATCACTGTAACCCAGGACTTGAAATGGGAAACTCATATCACGCAAATGACCAAAAAAGCCTATTCAATGATTTACCTCATACAAAAATCATTTAAAGACCTCTCCAAAGATATGATACTAAAGCTACATAAATCATATGTCAGGCCAAAAGTGGAATATGTACAAACTATTTGGAATCCTTACTATGCTAAAGACAAAGAGCAAATTGACAGAGTAAAACGAACGAAGAATAACTAAGCTGCCTCCAGACCTTCATGAACTGCCCTATGAGGAACGATTAACCCAGCTAGACCTAACCACCCTAAAAGATAGAAGAATGAGGGGAGATCTTATTGAAACTTTTAAAATAATGAATGGGCACTATGCATGCGACTTAAGAGAGATCTACCACCTCAACCAAAACACCAATCTCAGAGGACACAATCTAAAGCTTTCCAAGGAAAAATGTAATAAGCTAATGAGAAGATACTTTCTAACAAACAGGGTGGTTTATCTCTGGAACAGTCTTGGTAACAACACTGTCACGTTCACAACAAAGAACCAGTTCAAAAACCGTTTAGACCAAGAAATGAAGAACCAAAGCACAACGTTCTTTGTGCACTATACCGTATGAGGCAACTAAGTTTCAGGAGGACTATTAAGACCGCAGAGGCTCTTTTGGCAAGAGCAATGCATGACTTCCCACAAATCTCTAATCTTTAAACAACAAATTAAACAGATTCAGCAGTTTCATCGGATTTATTCCGTCTACTGCAGATACCCATAATAATAAAATAATAAAGCTGGATTTATACAGAAAATAAAATAAAATAAAATTAGAAATAACATAAGAAATAAGCAAAATAAGAAATAAGGCGTTTATAGAGAAAAATATAAAATAAAATTAGAATTATTTTGAACCAATCACCACGCGCCTGAACTGTCATCGGTCTAATCTAATCGACGTCGTGACATGCGCAAATAACATTTTCACATAAAATAAAATAAGACGTTAAAAGTTAACCAACTTTTTATTTTTTTTGCTTATTTCTTATCTTATTTTATTTTTGTGTATAAACGCCACCATGAGTTCTCATAAGGCCATCTTTTAATTTTATTTTATTTCTTATTTTATGTTATTTTATTTCCTGTATAAACCCAGCTTTATAAATTCATCATTAAAGGCCGAAACCCACTAGCAACACGCCACGCCACCCCACGCCATGTGACACAGTCGGCAAATACCGCTAGCTCCCACTGAAGCCAAAAAAGTTTACGCGGCATATCCCGTCAATGTCCGTGTAAACACAATGCAACATGCGGCATATGCCGGCGCTATTGCCCAAACATCAACACGCCATAAAATTTAGTGTCCGTCAACGTGTTAAAGATCTTGGTGTCTATCTAGATACTAGGTTATTGTTCACCGAGGGTTTTGAAGTGGTAATTGTCAGGGCTAATAAAATCTTGGGCTTTTTTCAAGAGAGCTACTAGGGACTTCACAAGTATACGCCCCATCAAAATTCTTTACTCATCACTAGTCAGATCCACTCTTGAATTTTCATACTTCATACATAGTTTGATCACGTTACTATATATCAGAACCACATCAATAGGCCCGAGAGTGTTCTACACAAATTTATCAAGTTTGCAAGGTACAGACTTTCATCATAGCAGTGCGATTCAGTGATGACCAGACTATGACTTACTTAGACTTAGATTATTCTAGATTCAAACTCTGTACAACTTCAAATGTATTTTTTTTAATTTGTGAATAAATAAAATAAAATTTAGTTGTTATTCTAGTTCCTCAAAGAACAATTTAAATACATATAGGTACAACGTTTTTAATGTACTGTGATATAGGAATTATATTACACGAAAGATAAAATTTTTGTAAATTATAACAGAGCATTGTATACACATTATTTTGCTGTAATTTCCCAAGATTCAAAAACCAAACTGAAACTGGTCATTGAGCTAAGGCTCCTGTTGTTTCTATTATCAATAGTTTCCAGTTATTCTAAAATATTTCTACTATTTGGGGTTGTTTGTAACTCTGTATGTAACATCAAATAAATTATTTCCCCAAAACATCAAAATAATACATAGTACATTTAAGTGATCCATCTTAGCGCAGTAGACATAGCATTTATTAATAGTGAGCTGGCCCCAATAACAGACTGGGAAGTACCCCCTAGTTCTGTTGCATATTCGTGCCAATAATGACTGTTTGAACAATTTCTATTTCATTGAAGCAATGACTACATATACCAAAATTTAACCAAAACCACTATTCTAGATTGGATTTGGCCCAAAGCTACTTGAAATACCTCCAATCTGAGCTAACCAAACCAAATTTGGCTACCTTAGGCAGATATTTAAGATTGCTGTATGATAGTGCCAAAGATAAAATTACCGAAGCTCAAGAACAAGAAATTTTAAGTATTTGTATGGAAATCCAACGAAACAATTCAATTTTGGATTCAAGAACTCTAGAAAATATGGCCTTACCTCTTTCACTAACTAAAGAATGGCAAAAATGTTTCAATATCATACAGGAAATTAAAAGGACTTCCAGTGTCAGTACAACAGTTTATAGTGCAGTAGCTGCTTCGGCATTTATCAACAATGAAGAAGACTTAGCTTGGAATTTATTGAATGAAGTATTGTCCTTGGATAAATTACCTCTAAGCGTCGCATTTTTGTCCTACATTGAAGTTTTAAAAAAGCAAAAGAGAAAAGTTGATTTAGTGAAGTTGTTGACATTTTTCAAAGAATCTGAAATGCTTTGCCATGAAGAAGTTGTAAATGGGATTCTTAAAGATTTCAATGTTGGCCAAAAAACAACAGTAAGTTGTTAAAATTTTCCTCCAAATTATTATTTTGGATTTAGATAAAATTTTCAGGTGAGTGCCAAAATTGCCTCTCAAAACTTAAAAAGCTGGAATTAACTGATGCAGAATTCAGTGAGTTGAAAGAAGTATTTTTCAAAAACGCCATCATAGGCAAAGATTTATTTATAAAAACAAATCCAGATGAAATGAGAAAATTTCAACAATTTGTCAATAGTATGGAACAATATGATGTTGTTTTGGATGGATTAAATATTGCTTATTCTACTGGGGTACAGAAAGGACCCGAAGTATTTTCTAGAAAGGTAAATAAAAAGAAATATTCTGAAATATTAATTGACAATTTTCTTTTAGTTGTGTTCAGTTATTTCGCACTTTAGACAACAAAATAAGTCTGTCCTTATGCTAGGAAGAGTCCACATGACTAGATGGCCCAAAAATAATTGGCACTACATTAAAAAAAACTCTTCCATTTTTTTAACACAAAATATTTCACAGGTAAAACAATTGTTAGCAATGCAAGTGCAATTTTTTGAAGTAGAATTTATTTTAGGATGATCCTTACTTATTATACTGTGCCCTACATTCAGGAAAAAATACAATAATTGTCTCTCGAGACTTGATGAGAGGCCATAAGTTTCTTTTAAAAGAAAGAAAATATAAAATTCTCTTCAACAGATGGTTATCACAAAGACAATACTTTTTGTCATATGTTGATGATAATGGCAAAGCCAGTTTTAGAATACCTCCTCATTTTAGTGTTATGACTCAAAAGATTGACGGTATATGGCATGTTCCTTATATTCCAGAAGGAAATGGTACTTTGAATGAAAGTTACCATAAAACTTGGTTATGTTTTGGGCGAGGTTTTGGGAGTAACTAACAGATATTTTGTTTATTAAACATTTTTTTAATTAAATTAGTCTTAAAATTATTTACTTATTCACTGGGTTTATACTTACAACTAAGCTGAAGAAATATCTGTTTTCAACATCTTGTTTTCTTATGTATTGTATGTACTTCATTGCTTGCCTTGTTTCTGAATACGGTTTTGAAAAGTCACGCTTTTGGCCTTTTTAAGTCAATTTTCTCAGTAATCAATCTAATTTAAACCAGGAGTCTCAACTGCCTTTTCCCCGAGCTTTTCCATTAGGTTTTCAAATGTAGCATTCTAAAATCATCCATAGGAAGATTTGACTATTTTGGTTTAGTTTGAAAAAGTTGGAGCTGTTAAAAGTATTGAGTATGTTTTCGTTGTGACCGAGTCAATAGAAATGCATCCAATAACCTACTTAACCTTCCTATAACACATACAACGATTGAAGCAATAGCTGTTCTGAGAAAATGTTCATTTCAGAAATTAATTTTTGGCCCAAACAGTTTTCTCTTTTCAAAACTACGTATCAAAACGTTCCTTTGCATGGACTTAAGCAAACCAAGCTACTTATGAACTTCAAAAAATCTAGTCCTCAACATACACTTCCTATTTACACCACACCAAACAATTCAAAGATTATTTCACAAATTCTCATAATTCATCAACGCATTTTTAGGCTCAATATTATGCACTTGTCTCAAATGACTATTCCTATCATAATTATCCCGAAATCTTTTATCACAACAATCACATTTTACCGGTTTTTCTCCAGTATGAGTCAAAATGTGTCTTTGCAATTTGTTTTTATAAGCGAATATTTTCGGGCACACTGGGCAGTTCAATTTTTTTTCTGGAGTTTTCACCACAAAATTACCCATGTCATGTTCAATTTTCATGTGTCTTCTCAAGGTCTCCTTTTTCTTGTAGTCTTTCAAACACAAGCCACACTTGAAGAGCCTCTCATTTGAGTGGCTCATAAGATGTGTTTGTAAATCAATTTTCTCCACAAACTTCTTGTCACACAAGTGACAAAGAAAGTCTTTAATGCCTTCATGTCTCCTCATATGTTTTATTAAATTATTGTTCAGAGGAAATTTCTTGCCACAAACTGTACAAATAAACTTCCAAGTTTCAGGATTTTGATGCATCTGCAGTTTATGTGTTCTCAAATTGCTGTGAGTCTTGAAGCTTCTATCACACTCGTCGCAACCATACTGTCTAATATTATCATGTGTTTTATTATGTTGCCATAAATCGTTGGAGGATACAAAAGATTTTCCACAAGACGAACATATAAATGGCCTTTCGTTATTATGTTTTCTTATGTGTATGTTTAGGTTGTGTTGGCTATAGTATTTGGCTTCACATAAATCGCATTTGAAGGGTTTTTCAAAGGTGTGCTTCGATCTGACGTGTTGTACATATCTGTCCGTTCTCGTAAACTCCAGTAGGCAGTACTCGCATTTTTGAGGACCTTTGAATTTTGGACCTCTCTTCTTACCCTTGTAAGGTTTCTTTTCTTTATGAGATAATAATTCTTCTGAACTGCTATAATCATAAACATTATTTTCTGAATCACTGAAAGTTTTGTCACTTTTGATTTCTTCTTTGGTTTGATTTTTGTTTTCTGTATCAAAAATTATAAGCGATTGCAAATGTTTTTTATCTTCTTCTTCTGTTTTGACTTCATTTTTAATATTGTCGGTATTATGATCAGATTTGGATTCTTTTCCTGATTTTCTTTTCACATTTTTTTTGGGGTTTAGATGTATTCGAGTTATGTGAAGACTTAAGGTACGTTTCAATCTGAAATACAGACACAAAAAGGTAAGTTGATTTAATTTAGGTTCAATTTGATTCCAATAAAACCAAGTTTCAGTTATCTGAATACTTCACTAGTTCACACTAGAGTTCTAATTGGAACCAGAGAAAGACTTTAAAAAAAGGTGAATAATTTTGGATTGCACAGGGTGTCCCATTTTGGTTGTACATAAGGGATAACTTGGAAATTACTGGCATAACTAGCGCTGCAGAACAGATAGTCAGCAACAATATCACTGACAAGATTGTACACATCCACACCGACTGCATACAAGCAGTAATTGCCCTATCTAAATTCTAGACCATCACTCACAACTCACTACATAAGAAAAATAACTATGCTAAGGGTTAAAGTCGTGTCCAACAACGAAGGTTTGGCTCCCAATACCCATACATTGGTCCTGCAACATATCAGAGGGAGCAGTTTAGTAGGTACCGAGGAAATCAAGAGCAGAACCAGAATCGCCCTCACCATCCAGAGTTTAGGTAAAAGTGCAGTATAGCCCGGTCACCTAAAATAGTATTTTTTTAAAATAAGAATCATTTGTTCAACGTTTAAATAGTGAATTTTGAAGTGAATGTTCCAGCGGAAATTTTCAATTGAAAAAGTTTATTATCCTGTTCCTACCTTTTAGATATGAGTTTTTATATTACCCCAATTGATAACTATGTTTGTTTGCCAAGGTGCTGTTTATCTGAGATTATTGAGGACAAGCCAATATTGAACTCAACTTATTTTTGAAGGCAGTTGGGAGTGCAGCTGAAATCGAAATTCATGGGGATATGTGCTGAAAAGACGGCTAATACGGTTCATAGAACTATTTTTGCTATTGTCAGCCCGGCTTCTATTAGTTGAGAATATGTTATTCAAGTATGTATTGATAAGATGGTATTCAAAAGTTCACAAGTGTCAAGAGTTCAGAGCAATTTATGTTATTAGTAGGGAATATAAACTGTAAGGGAAGCCCTATGCGTCGATCATAGAATACTGCTGGGCATGCTTGAAATATCTGGTTTTAGAGGAACTTTCCTTTCATGGATAGCTTCTTATCTGTCATTACGTTACCAATCAGTGAGCTTTAATGGTGAAGAATCCTGTAAGCAACTAATTACTTCTGGTGTTCCTCAGGGATCTGTTCTGGGGCCTTCATTGTTTCTAATTTACATCAATGATTTATCAGAGTTGGATGTGTCAGGTGTGTTTACAATGTTTGCTGATGATACAACGATTCTGTGGCACGCTAACAATGCTGATGGGTTGGAGAGATTGGTTGGCAGGGATCTGGTTGAAATCAAAAAATGGTGCGACTCATATTTCTTGACACTGAACATTTCTAAAACAAATATTGTCTCTTTCAAATGTGGTGTGGGTGATGTCGTTTTGGGTTCGCAAGTTGTGCGGGGCTTGCAGGTTAATAAGTTTTTGGGTTTATTGATAGATGAAAAGTTGAAGTTTGAGGCTCACGTTCTAAACATGAATAAAAAACTTTCTAGAGGTTGCTTTGCATTGAGGGTTGTCTCGCTAGAATTGGATTCGTCTACTGCTAGGAATGTATATTTTGTGTTGGTTGAGTCTCATCTACGACCTACGTTACGGAATCTGTTTCTGGGTATCCTGTTCTGATCAGCTTTTCACTATGGTTTTCGTTCTGCAAAAACGAGCAATAAGGTCAATGTGTGGGGTGGGTCCCAGGCAATCTTGGAGACCTTGGTTTTTTTTTTAAAAAAGAATCTTAACTCTCGCATGTATATTTATTTCTGAAACTGTTGGCCTAATTCCTCGCCTAATTCACAGTAAGTATAAGGATGAGATTGCAACTTTGGGGGTTTGAGTAACTCATTCATCTCATGTGGCTTCGCTCCCTATTCCCGTTTCGACCCTCACAAAGACATCCAGCAAAAAGCTTTTTAACCATCTGCCTTTAAATGTAAGAAGTATTCAGAATAGGAAGCGCTTCAGAATTGAAGTAAAATATTTATTGCTTGCGGAAAGCCTACTATTCAATTGCAGAATTTTTCAATGACTCCCTAAACTAGCGTTCATTTACTTTTACTTCCTTTGACTTACAGTGTATGTGTACCTATGTTTAGTTCATTGTATATTTATTTATTTAGTATTAAGAATTTATATTAGATTAGTGTGCTTTGATAATAGGATTGTATTGGTCTTCATTCAAGAAAGCTGTTTTTGATTTGATTTGATTTGATATGTTTCTCCAGGCTTTGGATATTTAGCATTTGCAGATGAGATGATCTTCATGTGAAAACTGGCCTTTATTGATTCCGAGTTTTTATAGTAAGAAGTTAACAAAGACTACCTTTATTTCATATGTTCTATCCGAATACCAAGTGGATTGGATTAAAAATGGGGATTAATATAAACATTTAGGATTAGAGATTTTATCTGGATCGGATACTTAATCCGATCCTCCAAATTTGTGGGATTGGACTTAAAATGGATTATCTCAAATGTGAAATAAACACCTCAAATCTCGGCAGCGCCGGTTTAAGGCTGTACCGGGCCCTAGGCGGCAGTAGGTATGGGGCCTTGCAGCCCAAACTAACTTTTTACCCATCAGATTCTCGCTCTACTTACGTCAAAGCCAGCGGCGCCAGAGGACAAATTGAACAAGCTCAGCTCAATCTTCTTTTTTTGAAAAATTTCTCATCTGTACAGGGTGTCCGAATTTGGATGGTTTTAATAGGAAACGTCAATTTCTGAGCTAGATACAAAAAAATGAACCCCCCACTACGAGGCTCAACTTTCTTGAAATTTTGATTGGTGCAAACCGCATTTCGATATCTTCAACCGTTTAACCGCTAGAGGGCGATTCTCGATTTTGAGCAATACTGTGAAATCTTCATAACTTTTCTGTTTATAAAAATAACTGATTTCCGTAAAAACTTCCTAGAGGCACTTGTTCAAGCAGAACTCAGTGACGTTTTCAGTTTTTTTTCTATTGGTCCTCGATTTCAAAATATTGACCAAAATCCTATTTTTTTCAATGGGACACCCTATATATTAATAGCTCTCTTAAAAGCTCTGCTTTTCCTGATTTCAATGATATAAATTTTGATAGGTTTATCTCTACTTAACAGTTTTCCAGAAAAAAAAATTTTTGGTTTTTGTCATAAGAAACAGTGAGTTAGAAAGAGATCTTTCTCATTTTCCTTACAAATATAAAGACCTTTTTTTACACATTGTTTCTTATGGGAAAAAACGAAATAATTTTTTTTTTCGAAAACTGTTAGAGATAAACCTATCGAAATTTATATCACTGAAATCAGGAAAAGCAGAGCTTTTAAGAGAGCTATTAATATATAGGGTGTCCCATTGAAAAAAATCGGACTTTGGTCAATATCTTGAAATCGAGGCCCAATAGAAAAAAACTGGAAACGTCACTGAGTTCTGCTTGAAAAAGTGCCTCTAGGAAGTTTTTACGGAAATCAGTTATTTTTATAAACAAAAAAGTTATGAAGATTTCACAGTATTGCTCAAAATCAAGAATCGCTCTCTAGCGGCTAAGCGGTTGAATATATCGAAATGCGGTTTGCAGTGTTTGCACCAATCAAAATTTCAAGAAATTTGAGCCTCGGAGTGGGGGGTTCATTTTTTTGTATCTCGCTCAGAAATTGACGTTTCCTATTAAAACCATCCAAATTTGGCCACCCTGTACATTACAGGCAGGGGGATAGGCCCCCCTCAAACTACAAATATACAGTTACTTAATACTAGGACAAGACATTCTTAAACTAAATTGCAGCATGCTCACACGCTCGCCTCTCGAGCTGTATGGGCGCTTTATCCTGGTCGATGTTGTTCACCGCAAACCCCTGTTCCTATTTTTTAGGGTCGCTGGTGAATACCACGGATGGCGCGCACTAGGTCATTACACTGGCCTGCCTCGAGAATAAGGGTGGAATGCTCAGAGAAGAAATTGAAGAGCGCGCAGCGCTCGTTTTGTGGGGAAGAAACATTAAAAACCCCACTTTTCATTAAGTTTAGACTATAAATAAAAACAAAAAATGTTGTGCCCCTAGGCGATCGGGTTCACTGGACGCGTCCTCACTAGCAATTGTGCGTGAGCGCGGATACGGACTGAATGGGTTCGACAGCCCTACACCCTGAAAAATCCTGAGACCATGAGTCTCTAAGGTAATGGTTTTGGTGCAGGTGGGGAAGTTTGTAAGGGATGTCAGGGAATGAGGGTTGGGAGGATTGGGTGCAAGAATTTACCGGGATTTGGGACATGCGTTTTTCAGCTAAGCTGGGCAATTTGTGCCTATATGATTGTTGGTCAGATTGGGGTGTCTGATGTTCAATTAAACAAGAGTGGTTTCCTCATAAGTCAGCGAGAGAGGAGTTTGCCACACACTAAATCGCTGACTAGTTGGAATTTTCCAAAGAACTAAGGGTAGAAAGAAATTAGACCTTGATGGGATTGCCAGAGTCTCCTGCTTCAGACTAAGGCTATTGGCGCCAGCGCCAAACTTTCTTGTCTAATTTTGTCTTGACGTTAAGATTTTAGCTGTGCATTGGAGAGAATTTCTATTTGGGTGTATGATTAGCAGGTTTGGGATTGAGAGGTGTTCATGGGGGTTCAAAATAGATTGGTAAATTCTTGTATGGTGGACCGCGAACTATGGGGTTGTCTGGATCATATCTCGTTTCAGTCATTCTGCGTGTTAGAGGGGAGCCGTGAACTTGGTGCCTATAAAACAGAACAAACAGTGTTGCCGATAGTTTCGCGTAATTTGGGTGGTATGGAACGGCCGCGGCGCGAGGTTGCCAAAATATTTTTGATAATTTTAGATTGAATTTCGGGCCCCATTGAGCGTCCGGGCTAATTTTGAGGTGAACCTCAAACAAATTCGCTACAAGCTAATTTTTGCGTCATTGTGTTTCGTTTGAGGTTTTATATAACTGGCTAAAAATCCCAAAAAATCCGATAGGGGGCGCAACCCCAAAACCACCCCCAAAGGTACATTTTTTAGGTTTTTTGCAATTTTCTCAAAATCAACAAGTTTTTCGAAAAATTTGCAAGAAGCCATTTTTTGGTATACTATACTTTATTATTCAAATAAGCTTAAGATATAAAAAAGTAAGATTTAAATTTGTATTGGTTTTATTTAGTGTCTTAGTGACATATACTTAGATTACTTCACTGGTGTTTAGAATTCAGAATATTTATTGTTATAAATTCTATGTAAAATATTATTTATACTTCATTATTATTTTTTGTGCAACCGTCCGCGAATTTCAATTTCGCGGCCGCCACACCTGACGTGCAAAATGTGTCAAATCCTTGTCAAATCCATACAGTTTTTTTGCAACTTTTGACCGCGAAACTTTTTAGCGTCCTCGAGATTATCTTGCCTCGGCCGCAAGCGGCCTCGGCGATAATTTTTGTCTACGTACGCTAAAAAGGTATTTTGCGGCCTTGGTATACAAATAGCTATTCAAAATTATATAATTTTTTAACACCATATCTGTCTAAGCTAGTACATAGGTACATATTAAAATAATTTACATATTCGAAAAAATATTAAATACAAAGAAAAAATATATAAATGCACCTAAAATCAAAACCACAAATTAAAACGTTATTGTGCAAAAAATCCTAATAAAATCCATAAAGCTGTTGGTACTTGAAAGGGCAGGAGAAAGGAAAAACGAACCAGTTCAGTTTTGCGAAACTCTAAATGCACTGGAACGCCTATAAACAGCCCGGGCGCTCTAGAGCGGCTTAGGAGTGCTTAAAGTCTGTTTTTTTTAAGATAATTCCCAAAAATCTAGTAACTATGTTGGCAGCACAAGCCTTCTCTAGATAAAAAAATTTGAAAGCATTGATAATTTTTCATTGTATTGCCAACATAATGTCATTTTGACTTTTATCTTTAAAAAAAATCAGACTTTAGTCGCTTTCCAGTGACACACTCCTGAGCTCCTCTAGAGCGCCCCGGGCTGTTTATTGCCATTCCAGTGAATTAGAGTTTCGCGTAGCTGAACTGTTCTTTTCCCTCTCTCCTGCCTGCCCTCTCAAGCACCTGCAATTTTATCGAAACATCAAAAACACGACACTTAAAGTAGTATGCGTTCCAGTGAAACAAACGTTGTTTGGAACACCAGAGTGTGAAGCTACTGGTGTGGAGCATCTTAGAATTTGTCACTGGAAAGCGACTCTGATCGCGTTGCTTCCCTCCCTCGCGATGGTAATATTGATTTTAACATGTTGGTCCGCTCTTATTTGAGATGTATAAACAATTCATTATATCCTATTCACAATCTGTAGTTTAAAGGTACAGGTAAATTTATCACCTTTCCCTATCAAATAGCATCGAATGGTGATAAATTTTACCTGTACCTTTGGACATCGGATTGTAAATAGATAATACATAGTTTATTATACGCATATTTTCTCAAAGTTGACGAAATAACAAATGATTCATAACAAAAACGAAACATTTTATTGGTATTTGTCACTAAAATAAATAACTATTAAGTTCTAAGGCCTGTATCAACACTAAAACTTTTTTAAATAATACAAATGGGTATACCATTGGATTCGAAATTTTGTACTCTACAAAAAACGCACCTTGCACTTTTTTGTTTAAACTTACCGTTTTTGAGAAAATTCCAACAAACCTAAAAAATGTACCTTTGGGGGTGGTTTTGGGGTTGCGCCCCCTATCGGATTTTTTGGGATTTTTAACCCATTATATAAAACACTAAAAGGAACACAATGGCGCAAAAATCAGCTTGTAGCAAATTTGTTTAGGGTTGCCCACCTAGTTTTACTAGCTTATATGGACTTGGTAATATAGAAACTAGATCTCGCAGTAATACTCAAGGTGATTTCGCACCAAAGAATGGTAGAGAGACTTTAATACCTCAACATTGAAAAATTCCCAACACCAGCACATTATAAAGCTTGCCATTCTTAGAGTCAGAATATGATTTAAGTGTTTGTAAAATCTTAATTGGGAATCAAAAATTACTCCTAGATGGTTTATTAGGTCTACTCTGGGCAGTGGAGAATATGAGCTTTTCACAAAAAAAAGATACGATATAATCTTGCATTTGGAGATGTTCAATTCTGTTCTATTTGACATACACCATTCTGATATTTTATTGACCTCAAGCCTGTTGGTTGAACTACTAAAAATCATCAGCATAAAGGAGGATAGAGGTGGGCCAACCTGCGATTTTACTGGAACTGTGACAAGACGTGACTGCTCCAATCGTATCACGGTGACAAATAACATTGATTTTTTGGAGCAGTTTAACCTTGACTGGCCGTGTTGGTAATACATATAAATGCTACAATTCATCATCGCAGTCTGTTAAATTCGCAGTCACAGCCAAGAAAGATGTTCCAGTCTGCCCTCTGCAGTAACAGTTTCTGTTTTGCGTCACCGCGATGCGATTAATAATCCTTTAGTCCGCACTGAATGGGTCAGAGATCAAAACGGCCGGCCGTGATTAAATGTCACTGCTACTCGAGTGGAACTGGGCTCACAGGCCGTGACTGCGACAGACGAGTAGCAGTGACATGGCAGTGACAAAGTCACAGTTCGTGAAATCGCAACTCACCTCTAAAGGAGGAATTGGCAGTTAGTAAACATGTTGACTAAAGTCTGTTATTTTTTTAAAGATAATGGACCTTTCCTATTTTACCTGTGCTGCGCGCGCATCTTATGGGTGACAGATAATTAAATCGTCAATTTACTGTGAATTTACTGAACACGGTCTGACCCTGACGTATTTAAGCTAACCTCAATTATCAATCAGTATCAATCAATATTGCTGAAAATTAATACAAAAACTGTTTATGATACAATGGTTCAAATGAGTTGAATGAGTTCTTGTCAGAATTAGGCGAAAAAGAAGTGAAACCTTTCTTTTCACAAGTTCCCAGGCCAATCAAATTATAAGAAAACAATAGTTACGTGCTCTCAACCCGAATGAAGACGATTTAAGTTGGGACAGAGATTTGAGGGTTCGTAAAATAACGTTTTTTATATCAAATACAATAATAATGTACAATTAAGGGTTTGCTGCAAACATTTTTGCTGCGGTGGGTTTTCTTTCTAATTAATCTTAATACGTATTTTGTCATATTTACGTTTAAAAATAAACAAAAACAGAAACATAACCGAAATTGCACAATTTGACAAGTGGAACCAATCAAAGTCATTCCACACAGGTATCGCGCGTCATTATATGTGTCTTTTTCTTTATTGCAGAAATCTTAATAAACTATCCTTGTTGTTCATTGCATGAGAAAGGTCCATTCCCCAAGTCAAAAATTCAGTAACTATGTTGGCAACACAAGTCTTTTCTACATAAAAAATTTGAAGCATTGACAATTTTACATTGTATTGCCAACATAATGTCAGTTTGACTTTTATCTTTAAAAAAAAAAACAGATTTTAGGTCGTTGATAAATACAAGGAGCAGAATAGGGACCAAATGTGAACCCTGAGGTACTCTGAATGTTATCATTATTTTCTTTGATATGGAACTTGAGAATTTGTGTTCGATTATGAAGATAAGTTGTTACCCATGCTAGAAGAAAATCTGCAACGGCGAATGATCAAAGTTTGCTCATGAGGATAACATTCCTAACTCCAATAGCAACTGAGTTATCCCATCCCTTAGGTACAACCAAAGTAGGACACCCTGTATGTTTTTGTTTATTTTCTCCATTTCACAGCTAACTTTCTTGACTTAAATAGTCTCTCACCATTTAGATAAAATAGGTATTGATAATTACCTGAATGATTTGCTACAAATATAACAGGTAAAACTAGCAAAAATTTCCTCCTTAATTTCTTGAGTAAATTTAGCATCCTTGATTTGTAATTCTAATTGCGCCTTTCGATACTCCTCACTTTTTATACACAATTGTATAAAATTATAAACGACATCTAGTTTTTCAATGCAACCCATGCATACATCCAAATATTCTACCCATTGCTGAAATAAACTCGACTCACAAAAGAAAATTGGATAAATATGAATGAACTTGCCTCAGTTGGAACGCAAATTTTCAATTTATCCACATATGGGACATCATCGGAAGCGAACTCGTTGGATTTTTTAGTGAATATGGATTTTTCCAGACAAATACAACAAGTTTCCAATTTTTCTTGCATATTTTATGTATTTTGCAATTTAAAAAGTTTGAAAATAAAATAAACAAAGCAAGCTCTGCTCCAGAGTCTAGTGTCAAAATCAAAAGTCGAGTTACAAACTAGCACATAGCGAATTCTTTTGACGAACCAAGGTGTACCCACACTCACTCGAGTTAATCTAGAACTTGCTCTGGTGATCCTAGGATGCTACCAATGTATCAAATGTTTGAAAAATATTCTATTTATTTGTTTTGAACATACAGAGATTTGATGTGCTTTGAGAGCGATTATTTTGTCGTAGCAAGAAAGATTTGTGAATGTTCTATTTCTGAAGTTGAGCACGTGATCGGACCAGTTTTGAGGCAAAAGTCGAAAGCGCTAAAAGTCACTGGATCGCTATGTCGCTGTCAGATTTGTTTGACAGTTACATTAAGGGTCATGTCACAACACAAGTAATCTTCCCATTCGACCCATACATTCATTCCACAAGGCCATCCTATTCTTGATCCTATCCTATCAATTATCATAAAATATTTTTTAATCCATAAATCATAATAAAAAGTAATCTCAAAGGAAAGTATATTTAATTTTCTTTCGACTTTTCTCCTCCAGGAAAAATAAATCCACGGGAAGCTAATATACACACCTATATCAAATTTTTTTTAAATTAAAATCTACCTAAATAAAATCCCATCAACACAACAAAAATTCCTTAGTTTATAAGTTAAAACCTAAATTAACTTCCCAAACCAAAAGTGTCATGAAAACATATTTCAAATCAAAGGAGAACAAAAACAGCATCTCGCAAATTGTGTGTTAAATTCTTCACATACCAACAAAGGATTTCCTGCATTATTTTTTCGAAATGTCTTTGTCTGGTAGTTCGTCGAAGGATTCTGGAACGTCTGGAAATAGTAGCATGGCTGGTAGCGATCCAAATATACCTAGAGACTTCAGCAGGTAAAAATATTTAAGTTTCACCTATATTTAATTACTATCTGGAAACAACCTCAAACATTTTGTTCTATTTAGGTTGTCCTTATTCTCTTCTGGATCCACTACATCCCAAGATGAACATTTCAATTCCGTAGGACATGCTGAGCACAGTTTGTCCTGCATGAAGAAATATTTACAAGCTGGCAAACTGTGTGATGTTGTTTTAATTGCTGGACAGAATGGGCGTAGAATATCTGCTCACAGGTAACAAAAACATTATCTCTATGCCCAGCACTTGAAACATTCTCTTTTAATGTATACCTTCAAGTATACCTGGAGTTAAATATTTTTGATTAAGCTAGTTGGCTTTTGTGCATGTCTCTCAATTTTGAATCCCTAAGCCTATAACTGGTAATGATTATTTTCAAAGAAGTGTTTGAACTGAATTTTAATAGATTATTGAAGAGGAATTAAAAGGACATCTGAGGGGACTTCAAATAAACCTCCCCTCTGATAATGGTGATAGCCTCGTAGATTGAAATTTTTCACTTGCTTCAACCCATTATCGATGGAACCATGAATTTTCCTATTCAACTCAATTCAATGAGCTTTATTGTCACAAATTACAAACAATCCATTGACGGAGCAGAAAAACAAAATAAATATCTAATCTCAATCCTATTTACACCTAAATAAATAGATACAAACTGTGTATGGTTTATTATTTTCCAAGATAGATTTTGGTTTTGTCAACTTTGAAACATAAACAATGCCGCTTATTGGTTGCTATTGTAAAACTGATGTCAACCTGCAGAAACACCTCATTTTGCGACCAATCAGGGTCAAGCGTTATTGTTTATGTTTCAAAGTTTTCAATGTCAAAACCTATCTTGGGAAAAAATAAAGTGTAGATATTTGCCTTTCAGATATTATTGGCGTAGCATTAGCCTTGGAAATTTGGCAGGTCGACCCTCGTATAATAATGTCACTATATGTCAAATTCCAGACAGTTTCAAGTGTGTTTTACATAAGTTCGTAAGTGTTGTGGTATTAAAATTCTCTGGCCTATCTGGCCAATCAAATTTGACACATTTTTTCAATAGTGCTATATTATAAACGGTACCTAACTATTTTGCGTACCTGCAAAATCTAATGACATTTTTTAAAATTAATATAATAATAAAATATGTGATAAAATATAATGGCTATTTCAAGAAAAACAAACCAGAGGTTCTTCAGGGAATAATAATTGAAGTTCAACTACCAGATATATTAGGGGTAGGTATAGTTTAAATGTAGATGTAAAGCCATTTCTTACAACCAGCAACCAATATCTTTGTTGGACCAAACTCGACCAAGCCCCAAAAAAAGGTTACTGCGAAATAGCTATTTATGTACCAAGGGGATTATGTAGATTATAATGCCCGAAGGCGAAACTAGCCCGAGGGCCTCTGGCCCGAGGGATATATTTCGCCTGAAGGGCATTATAATCTTAAAATCCCTGTGGTGCATACAATGCTTTATTTTCTACTCAACACAATGTTTTTTCATCAATTTATTATTAACAAAATCAGTTAAACTAGTGTGACAGAATATTGTTTTGTATTTTGACATCTACCTATACCTGTGACCTGTACCTGTACCTGCGACCTGTACCTAGAAACGAAATAAATTAATAAATCTATAAACATCTCATAAGGCAAGGCAACGGTGGTGGTCCTGTGGGTTAACGCGCTGGACTACATGGGAAACGTTGATGGTAGACCGGGTTCGAATCCTGGCTAGACCGAAAATTATTTTCGGTCAGATATTAGTGGCTGCCTAGGGTAAAGTGCAAATTAATAGAACAACAACAACAACAACAAAAACACCTCAGGGTATTATAAGCGGGCGTTATAGATCATAACGCCCGCAAAAGCGGGCGTTATGGATCAGGTTGTTATAGGTGTATTAACGTATTTCGTTTTCTAGGTATTATGGATCTATAATAGTAAAGTAGAAAATAAACATATTTATGCTGTTAAGCTTACTGTTATGGTACGTTCGATTTATTTTATTTCAAATAAATTAAATAATCTTACTACATACCCAATTTTTTAAAAATTAATTTGGAAAAATATTTTGGAATTGAATCTACCAAGATATTTTACACATCCTAACAACTTGGCTTTCTGTTTCATAACCCTGAAATTTCATTTTATCCTTCCATCTTGGAGTATCGATTTATATTGAAATATCCAGTGGCGGTGGTTTGGTCATTTGTCGATTTTCGTGTACGAGTTGCATTACGATAACACTTCCAAAAAGTTCCAGCATGCAGCTGGGTATTTTATGAATGAAATCAGCCATTTTTTTCTACAACTGCATCCCCCTCACCATTGCCCCGTAGACATAGAGTCGCTGGGCAGACATTAGTCACTACAAAGAGATCATTAAAAAATACAATGAAAAAATAAAATTTAAATAAGTGTATAAATAAAACATGAAGTGTAATGTAAAAACATTATATAAAAATAGGAAATAAAAAATAGTAATGGTAAGTATGACGAGTTCAATTGAGTGGATGTAATATTGTGGATTGTGAATGCTCTAGTTTTCTTGGTAACAAAATTATTCCTTTCTTGTTCACAATATTTATTGATAATGAAAAATAATGTTGAATCTTATTTTAGTTATACACAGTATTGCTATTTCGGAAACCGTTCATGGTACGAGGGTGGTTAAATTCGAAAAAAGTTAGATTTTTTCAAAATCAAAACATGCTTTATTGTCCAAAATATATAGTATTCATTGACAAAGCTAACATAAACTTAAACATTTTCTTGGCATTGTAAATAAATGATTTTCTTATTTGGCTTGTTCTTGGAATTGGCAGAGGGATGTTGTAAGTTTGTCGAGCATCATTTTTTATGCATAGCCCAGTTAACACAGTCCTAGTGTACTTGAATCAAGTACCCTTTGACGCTGCGTGCGCCTCACTTGTACTGTACTTGGATCGTATCAACTGCTTAAGGGCGGGTATTATAAAACTATTTCGACAGATACTGAAAAGTTAACTTCTAGAATTACTATGGGAAGTAACGCCATTCCAGAAGTTAACTTCTAAGTTAACTGTCAAAATACTTTTATAATACCCTTAAGCCAGGTTAACCGGGTTGGTTTTAAAAACCCACTTCAAATCAAATCAAATCAATTTATTGGAACAATAATACTAAAATACATTTCAAAGGGAAACTTATACAGTAAAAACTGGTATTCCCTAAAGATAAATTATCACACAAATTACAAATTAGTCAATCATTAAAAAATAGATATACCCAAAAAGATACCGACAAACTTTGAGGGGTAGTAGGGGACATCAAAACAAGCATTTTTGTTTATATAAACATATGTCCGCAAATGAGCCATTCGTACTGTAGAGCAAAAAAAACTGTTTGGTACTATTCGCAATAATTAAATCACTTTCTACCTATTAATTTTGCTTTAGTAACAAAAAAATTATGGTTTACAATAATTGTTCAAAATGTTGACCATTTACTTCAATGCAAAGATTGCACCGTTAGGTCATTGACTGAAAAGTTTAGTCTATGAAACACGTGTTCGTAATGAGGAAGATCTGTTAGCAAGGATACTGGCGAGTTGTACTCCTGTAGAAGCTATTCCCGGAATATTCCAAAGGGTTCGCGAGTCAATGATTGCTGATTGATGATTGTTCAATTCCAAACAATTTTTGTAAACCATAATTTATTGGTTAATAGAGCAAAATTAATGCTAAACAGTGATTTCATTATTGCGAAGAATAAAAGTACCAAATAGTTTTTTTGCTCTACAGCCCAAATGGCTCAGTTGCGGACATATGTTTATATAAACAAAAATGCTTGTTTTGATGTCCCTAACTACCCCTTAAAGTTTGTCGGTATCTTTTTGGGACACCCTGTATACTATACAAACTATTAAAAAAGATAAACATCTTTTCCAAAGATACTGATATCACAAACTAGTCAGTTAATAATATCCTCGATAATACCTATATAGATACGCGTACAAACAATCCAAATTAAAAAAAAAGATACACAATTTTTCCAACAGGCTACAGTCAAATAAAAGTATCAGTACACCAAGCTCCCATGACGCTGCATCTCTAGAAAACGTTTTTGAAGGTCGTTGCTGAACCTCAACAAAGATGTTGACATATCAACTTCAAGAATGTACTTGTTTATCTTGGGAACTGTATAAGAAAAACAGCCAGTAGATTTTGTTGTTTTTTGCTGGGCTAATTATTCGTGTTTCTCAGATTTGCAGCCTGTAACTCGTTTTTTCTCGTCAGTGCATCAAACAAGTACTGAGGAGCCTTACTACATAGTTGATCAATTGTTTCCAGAAATATAGTGCAAACCTATATTCTATTTTTAATATCCTAGAGTCATTATAATAGGGAGTGATATGATCACGATATGGTGTACCAAAGCTAAATCTAAAGCAGGAGTTCTGTAGCCGTTGAATTTTATTCATAAATTCACAAGACAAAAAAATATAGTAAACAGACACCAATGAATTGACTAGTTGCCATTTGGTATCAGATGGGAGACAGTACTTAAATTTATACAGTGATTTTAATTTTGAGTAAGCTAAACCTATTTTTTCATTAACATGAGCCTCAAAATTTAAAAAGAAATCTAACAAAACACCTAGATTTTTTATCTGTTCAGTCATTGGAATATCTTTGTCATGTAACCTAATCGTCCCATGATTATTTAGCACTTTTCCATGAGCACTTTTACTTCCCATACACATAGCCATAGTTTTATTAGGGTTGAGGAAGAGACCATTCGTGATTTCTTTGCAAAGTCATATTGAGAACATTCACTGTAGGACCGGGATTCTCAGGATCACCAGAGACATACACTTGTGTATCGTCAGCATATTGATGGATTTTGCACATATCATTTCCAGAGTAATTAATGTCACATAAATAGAAGAAAGTAAAGGACCAAGTGGACTTCACTGCGGTACGTCCTCAATTACTGTTAGCTCCTGAGACACATCTCCATTCAGAGAGACTTTCTGAGACCTGTTGCTAAAATAGGACATAAACCAGTCAAGTGCTGCCCCGTGGATTCCATAGTAGTTAAGCTTTGAGGCCGGGAGGGAGTAATTCACGAGGTCGAAGGCCTTCGAGTAATCCAGGGCGACCAAAAAAGTAAACTGACCTTGATCAGTTGATCTGGATATATCATCCACGATTTTAGTCAGAGCACTTGAGCTTGAGGTGTCATGTCTCTTACGAAAGCCTGACTGAAGTAAGGGTATTATTTTGTTTGCCTCAAAATATTCAGTGAGCTGCGATGCGACGATCTTTTCGTGAATTTTCATGATGATTGAAATTAGGCTGATAGGTCTTACATCTTCGTATTTTGACGCCACTGGAACCTTTGAAATGGGAATCACTAGAGCCTGTTTCCATGTAGGAGGAATGTCTCCCGTCCCTAATGAAAAGTTAATTATATGACAAAGAGCATCCGTGCAGTATGGTAAAACAATCCTCAGCATCTTCAGAGTTACTCCATCCAGACCCGAGGCATTCGATTGTATATCAGAAACTTGCTCTTCTATCATGTCGGCGGTCACAGGAGTGAAATTGAAGTTCAGTCCAAGCCTGAAACTATTTTCGTGAAAGTGACTGCAGATATTCATTTTGATATCTAGGTATATTTCTAACCCCATTAACAAGGAAATAATTTATATTGTTGGAGCAATTTATTTCTGGACCCAGTTCACGAACAGACTTTCTATGAATATGGCAAGTATCCAGTTCTCTCCACATCTTCCGAGCACACGATTTGTTGCCAATCACATGAGTTTTTCTCATGTTGTACAGCATTAGAGAGATAGTTGGGCAAGTCTTTGTAATAATCAAGCTGTATCTGATTGTTAGTTCTCGAATATTCTTTGTAAGCCTCTCTTTCGAGTTTGCCCATTTCCTTAATAGTGGAAGTTATATAAGGACGTGCTGGATTTCTACAGGCAATGGTCGACTTAAATGGAGCATGCATATCGAAAAGAAAGTTTACGGCATTGGTGAGGTATTGTTCTTTTTCTGACAAATCAGGAATTATATCATATCGAAAATTCCTGAATGTTACTTTTCGCGGTTTTATGGATTTCATTACATATTCCAACCTACAGATGGCCAATCTGTGATCAGTCAGATTGAGAAGATCAGCAGTTCCACATTCAAGTAGAGAAACAGAGTTCGTCACAGCTATGATATTGATTAATGTTGATAATTGAAACTCGCGTGGGCTCTTTGAGTGCTTGATTGACAGCACTTTAAATTAGAAAAGCTATACTGAGTGTCCGGAATCCGCAATCAAGTGCCCAAAAATAATCTGCTATCAGCTTCTCTCAACTTGAAATAGCAACGGATATACAGGGCAAAAAATAAAGTGTGTTTGTTCATGTTTGTGTTGTGTACATGCCCTGTATATCCTTTGCTATTCCAAGTTCAAAGAAACTGATGACAGAATATCTGTAGACACTTGATTGCGCAACGTTTTCCTCGTTAGGTCCACCATGTGTATTCAATGGTTTCCATAATCAATCCCCATGTTATTCAAGTTAATCCAACGTGGCGTTCTCAAATTTTACATACAACGTTTCGTTTTCAAAAAACCATCATCAAATTTAATTTTTTATGTACGGACCTGGAATTCTTTTATTTTTTTCTAAAGTGCTATCCAGTAGCTGTTTAACAATACGCAGCATCAGTATAAATAATCAACATTTCTGCTCTAAGAACTCATCATCAGTGATTTTTATCAAAAATATTTATTATTTTGACCATGGAATCTGTTGGTTGTAAAAAGTAGCCTCCGCCGCAAATCTCTTGAATTTTTTCTACACAATCAGAAATACCCGGAAATTCTGTGTATCATCAAAACTTGGCTCACACACGACGAGGCCTCTCCATTTATACTTAGCAACTAAACTTCAGTAACCACCTTCTCCAGGAGAGACTCCAGCTAGAGCTGGGGGTGTCGCACTGTTTGTGCACCAGAAATTCTACAGGCAGGCACAGTCAATGGATGGTGTTTCATCTCTCAAAGGGGACTTTGAAACTAGAAATTTTGATTTTAAATTGAAGAAGTAGTCCATGACTCAAAGTGGAGTTGAAATTTAATTTTCAAAGAAAAACACCAAATCTTCCTCCACAAATTAACTTTAATTATCTTATGTTTCAAAACTAGGAAGTTCCATTATCAGGGGCAAGTATGGTCGGAAATGAGTGCTTTTAAAACATCATCATTTGATGAATTTAAAATGAGGTCGCTGGATTAGCTGTAAAGAAAAGCCTACTTGAGCGAACTGGCAGATACAGGAGATGATTGAAAATTTAGTCCCAAAAGTATAAAATTCGAAAAAATTACCCTCAGGTGGAGGAGAATAAAAAAAAGGAGTCAAAAATATTTAAAAAACACATTATAGTTATTAATGATACAAGTTCGATATGAACGCCATAATGAAACGCGTGTAACGTTTAGTGTAACGTTTAGTTACACAAGTTTCATTAATAAAGTTCATATCGAACGTGTATCATTCAAAATTTAATCTACAATGGTCCAAATAGATTTGATTTGCCTTGAAATAGCAAAAACTTCTCAAATTAAAATTTGAAATTTAGCAGGTGCCCGTACTAGTCGAGAACCTGCTTGTTGGTTTTTAGAATTTTGACTTTGGCAGCTTCAATATTGGAGTCCATTTTTGTGCCATAAATTCAATTTTATAGTGGAAAATAATATTATTATTGGTGATTCTGAGTTCGAAAGTGTCTCTTCGAATATAGAGACAGCATTATTGAAAAGGTTCTTCTGGCAACTAACTTTCTTTTTGTATATTTTTCATTTCAAAATTTGGGTGTTATTATGAATTCTTAAACGCACTAGTGCTATTATGAAGGACCTAATGACATTCAAATGACAATGCTAAATGTGTCATAATGACACCGACGTAGATTAAAATACAAAATGAATTCAAAAACTATAAACGTATATTGAACAACACTATTTGGGAACATGCATTATGGAACATTTAATTTGTTTTTCAGTCTTATTTTAATTTAAATTTATGGAGATCATGCCTTTCCATAAATATGAATTAAAATAAGACTGAAAAACATATTTTTTGGATAAGTTCAACATTCTAACATGTCGCCAGTTCGGATTTAGGGTTGGTTGCTCAACGACCGATGCTATCTTGTCCTTCTAATAAAAAATATTAGACAACTTCAACAAAAATTTGAAGTCAGTGGTTATATTTTATGATTTTACTAAGGCCTTCGACACTATAGACCACAACAAACTCTTGAATAAAATATCTTACTATGGCATACAAGGACCGGCGTACGACTGGGTTGCGACTTATCTAAGTGATAGAACTCATTGTGTTAAATTATTGATTGGGGGAGACTGGCAAATAATGTAAGATTTGGTGTACCGCAGGGTAGTGTGTTGGGGCCTATCTTGTTCCTATTATTTATAAATGACTTGCCACTGTATGCGAATTAGTGTTTTGTTACGCTGTTCGCAGACGACACATCTATCCTTGTCGAAGATGTAGGGTATGAAGGGCTATGTCGGAGGGTAAATGAATGTGTCCGCAGAGTTTCTGATTGGTTCAGGGCAAACGGGCTCTGTCTGAATGGCACCAGAACAAGTTCTGTGTTATTTGCACCCATAAGAGTCCCCCAAGATAGAGGTCTGCTTATCAGAGATGGATCTAACAGTCTTGACCAGCGGGATTCTGTTAAATTCCTTGGAATTTCATTGGACCACCATCTGTTTTGGCATGATCAAGTTGACACCATTTGTAAGAGATTGTCAGCCAAGAACTTTGCCATATTACAGATCATGTGGATCACAATACTCTAAAAACTTTTTATTACGATGCAATAAACTCTATTCTGTCGTACGGTCTTCTTGGGTGGGGTAACTCCACAGATATTGCCAAGTCCTGATTTTTCAAAAAAAAAATAATGAGGACAATGTTTCGACTACCATTTGGAGAGTCCTGTCGCGCCAAACTTTCAAGGCCGAAAGTATACTTACGGTCCTAAACCAGTACATTTTACAGAGTGCATGTACTGTCTTTGAAAACCGACACAGTTACATGACATGTCGGGAACAAGTTATTCTCAGCGTTCCTGAACAATCACCCACCTATGAACTTCATATGCTAAACATAGGCGGTCAGCCTTGAGAAAAATTGTTCAGAATGGCCAGATCTATAACTTCAACGTTCTCTTCAGTCGTCAATTTGAGCATCAACAATTTTATGAAATGGCTTGATAGAATTCGAACAATAGATGATATTGTGTCTGATATACCTACACGAAGAGTTCTGTTTTTCCCAACAGGAAAAAAAACTCCTCGTTTAAATTCCAAGCAATCTGCTATTGTAACCTCAGGAGAAATTTTGTCCATAAACGTAGAATCATGCGTGAATGCAGCTCTAAAGATGTTCTCAATGATACTATCATATTAGGAATTATTCCTGATAAAAATGACTGCATTAATTTAGATTTGCCACTAATCATAGACCAAGGACCAAGGTAGTAGACGATAGGTACATCATTAATATGTCGATTCTAACGAAATTGAAATAGGCGAATTTGAAAACCTCACAGAAATATCATATTTTCCCTTGTTTCAATTTAAATTTTAAACATGTATTTTTAACAATATTATTAAATATTGATTTTGATTTTTTGTCCAAATCCAGGTTGGTTCTGTCAGCCGCCAGCGAATACTTCGCCACAATGTTCACTGGAAGCTTGAGCAATGACGAGCAAAGAGAAATTACATTGGGGGATATCAATGGTGATGTTCTACAAGCAGTTGTAAATTACTGTTACACCGGTACCATTGAAATTCGTGAAGACAATGTCGAAACCTTATTGGCAACAGCCTGTTTGATGCTTTTACACGAAGTTGTCGAGGCTTGCTCGAGATTTTTGGGCCACCAATTGCACCCAAGTAATTGTTTGGGGATTGCTATTTTTGCTGAACATCAGTCTTGTACAAGTTTATTAAATGAGGCTAATTCTTATACTAATCAGCATTTTATGCAGGTAATTTGTTGTTAGATATTAATTTGAGAAAAGGTTAGTATTGTAAGGAATCATTTTTGCTGTAGGTGATTTTGAATCAAGAATTTCTTCAATTAAATGTGGATCAAATGTGCAGTTTACTGAGCAGTGATGATCTCAATGTTAGTTGTGAAGAACAAGTATTTAATGCTCTTATGAGTTGGATACAACATGATCCTACTACAAGGTATGCTTATAAAACTTGAAATAAATTTCCACTATTGTGATTTTTTTTTTTTGTAGGAAAAAACACATTGGGCAGCTTCTAGCTTTAGTCAAACTTTCATTTTTAAGTCCGGCCTTTTTATCAGACCAAGTCGAGCCTGCCATAGCTGGAGATCCTACCTGTCAAAAATTAATTATGGAGGCAATGAAGTGGCACTTGCTTCCAGAAAGGCGCCTTCAAATGTCATGTTCTAGAACAAAACCTAGGAAAGCGACTATCGGACGACTTTTGATAGTTGGTAAGTGGATTTTCTTTTTGTTATTTAATCAGCATTACTGTCAATAATTATTCCACTCTACGTCTATTTTATGTTCCATGTAAACACAGTCATTTTATATTTTAGGTGGCATGGACAACAACAAAGGTGCTACCACCATTGAAAGCTACGACCCCAGATCTGACACTTGGACTGTAGCGCACCATATGAGCGGCAGACGGTTACAATTTGGCATAGCTTTGATGTACGACAAACTGTTAGTAGTAGGAGGTAAGCAAACTTAATTCGATTCATTGATATCTTTGCATAGAGATCCATCCTATCTAAAAATACATTGAGATTGAATTGAAATTTAACTCAAACAATTTTGAATTTCCTCTAAGTATCGAAGTGTTAAGTATTTAAATTTCAAATTGTTTTACTTTTTTCAGGTCGTGACGGTCTCAAAACCCTTAACACCATGGAGTGTCTAGACCTAGAAAGCGGATCCTGGAGTCAGCTGCCACCAATGAACACCCATCGTCACGGATTAGGCGTGGCCGTTTTAGGTGGCACTCTATATGCAGTCGGTGGTCACGACGGCTGGAGTTACCTGAACACTGTAGAAAGATGGGATCCAGCTACACGCACCTGGCAATACGTAGCTCCAATGCAAAATCAACGTTGCTCAGCAGGTGTGGCTGTACTCAAAGGTAGGTTGTATGCTGTAGGTGGCAGAGATGGGGCAAGTTGTTTACGGACTGTCGAGTGTTACGATCCTTACACTAATAAATGGACTTTGGCCGCACCTTTGGCAAGGCGTAAAGGGTGTGTTGGTGTAGCTACAGCCGATGGATATTTGTATGTAATGGGTGGTCAAGATGCTCCGGCTAATAATCCCACAGCGTCCAGGTTTGATTGTGTCGAGAGATACGATCCTACTACAGATACTTGGACTACAGTTAGTACTTTAACGAGTAAAAGGGACGCAATAGCTTGTACACTGTTTGGAGACAAATTATACTCAGTTGGAGGTTACGATGGTAATATGTATCTTAAAAACGTTGAAGCGTATGATCCGATTGCAAATGAATGGCAGATATTGTGTCCTTTAAAAACGGACAGAGCTGGTGCGTGTGCCATAGCTGTCCCTAATCATGTGTTCGAAAGAGGAGATTGACGACGGTTCGAAGACAGCGAGGATTGTAGGGAGCAAAATTGGTTTTATTTTTCAAGACTGAAAAAGGCAGCATTTATTAATTTTGGCATTTTCAACAAAAATTAAGACTGAACGAGTTCGAGTTCCTCGAATTTAAAGACCAATAATTTGCTCTTATTGATCCTTTTTTTATTGGGTTTGTTCCAAGGAGAAACAAATATTTCATTAATCATTGGTTGAAAATTGCCCATCAAATTGTTACATTATTGTGTACGGATATGGATTTATTTGTGGATTCACTTTACCAAATCAACATAATTATTTTTTAGTAAGAATATGCAAACATTTCAATTGTGCCAACTTTTTTTGCCAAACGATTTTGTTACTTCATATAGTTTTTTATTTCTGTTTTTTTTTGTGTGTGATTGAGTCGTTAAATAGTCATTATAAAGGTTCACAAAAGCCATGATCAGATCAATAGTCACAAATAATGACGTTCGGAAAATGATTTCAAATCGGTTGATTTTCTCTAGATTTAATGTAGTTTTTCATAAAGAAATCGACAAATGTAAACATAAACTGTTTCTCGTTGGAACAAACGTTATGTGAAAATCAAGAATAAAGCATTATGACCCTATACATCATATTGTTATAACTTAGATTAGCATTAGAGTATGTAATTTGCAATAAATGATAATTTTTATGGGAATAATTGTACAGGATGTTCCTCAAAAGTTCCCGCAATTTTTTTTCTTTTTTAAATATAAAAATTTGAAACGCTCTGTATTTGTATATTTTGAGCGGTTTCCATTTTTGAATCAGTGCACATTGAATCGATTTATGTAAAAGAATAACAAACTGTAAATGTGGAATAAACCACTATGAAAACCTAAGTTCCTCTCGGAATTTGATAATGGAAATCGATTCAAGGTTTTTACGTAATTTTTTTGGTCATGGATCATTCGCAGTTTTAAATTGTGAAAAAACATAAAAATCAAAATTATTGAATTTGTATACTATCGTTTATTAAAAGTTTTTGGCTAAATTTTTCTGTGATAGTTTTATAATAATTATTATATTTCGTGTTTCAAACAATGTATGTGATTAATTTTTTGGGAACCAAATAATAATTTTTTTCTTTAAGTATTCCTTTGTATTATTTTGAATATACATACTTTGTCATTGTGTCGAGAGTATCGTTGGATCATAATCCGTTGTGACTACAGCTTGACAATTCCAACTAACAATACAGCCCAATAATAAAATGCCTTTTTGTTTCAATCTTTTATTAAAATAAAAATCACAGACTAAATGCAAAACGAAAACAAATAATTTAAAGCCTAGTATCCAAGGGACCCTTACTGTTGTCCTCTTTGCTATCTTTGAAATACTCTTCAATCTCGTGCAGAGTTTTCCCTTTAGTTTCCGGAAGACACCTATAAACAAACGCAGTCCCTAACAGCGCCATAAAACCATAAACTAAAAACGATCCGTCTGTACCTAAATTCTCAAACAGTGCAGGCATAGTTTTGACTACACTAAAAATAGACATATAGGCTACGAATGAGGCTATGCCACTTCCTGTACTTCGTTTTGCCATTGGCAGGAGCTCGCCAATTAAATTCCAAGGAAGACTGACAAAACCTGCTGTCACAAAAAACACGTAGGCTAAAAGGCAAGTGATGGGCACAGCAACTAAATTTGGATTTTGGATGTTGAAGACTTTTTGTGAATAAATAAAGCCACTGAGGATGAATAGTGGTATAAATGTGCCAAAACCACCTGTTAAGGCCAGAGGCCTTCTTCCAATATTTCTTATTAATATACATTGAGCTATTGAGGCAATGACTCTGATGCAATCTATAATAAATGTGGCCAAATATTCATTTATGGATTCGCCCAAAGTTTGCTTCATAATATTTATTGAGTAAAATGTTACAGCGTTTACACCAGCCCATTGACTAGATATAAAGAAAACTAGTAAAATTGCCATTGGTTTCCAAAATTCTGGCTCTAAAAGCTCCTTCAAACGATTTTTTTCATCTATTTTGTTAGTATTATTATTGGTGGCCTTAACTCTAGCAATCATTTGTTCAAATTCCTGCCTATTTTCCTCTGAAGCGTTTCTTAGCCAATAAAACGATTCCTGAGCCTCATCACTTAACCCTTTCTGAGCTAGCCAAGCAGGAGATTCTGGAGTAAACGTCATCAATAGCCAAGCAATAAAAGGAAATACAGCCACAACTAAAGCTGTTACTTGCCATGTTAAAAAAGTCCCTAAAAGGTGACTACCTAAAAGCCCTACGGATACACTCAGAGGTATTCCACCTAGTAGCATGCCTCTGTTTTTTGGATCAGTAGTTTCTCCGATGTAAACCCCAGTAGCTGGAGTGATGATGCCAGAACAAAGGCCTGTGAGGAATCTTCCTGTTAGGAGCATTTGAAGATTGAAGGAAAAATACATCAAAATCCAGCCGGCACAGTAGGGAAAGCAGATGATAATGTGGGTCATTTTGCGGCCGTATTTTTGAATTAGGACTCCGCCAATTAGGGCTCCTGCTGCCATTGGGATCACTGCCAAGGAAGCTGAAAAAAGAAAAATTTTATCATACAGGACATCCGAAATTTTTTTGTCAGTTGTAAGTAAGCATCAGTTTTCAGAATACACTTGATCTTGAACTAGAAACTCGCAATGCTCTAGTAAAGAAAAGTTATGCTGGGAAGACGAGAAAGTGATTTTCTATCAAAAAAGCACTTTGGGGCAAGAGAAAATACCTTCTTTCTCTTTTAGATGGAGAGGATCTTGGATGAGAGGATACATGTTAACGAGGGTTAAAGAAGAATAATAAGAGGTATTACTAACAAACCAATAATCATTGATGTTATATAATATGTTATTACCTACATGTTAAATATGTTCTTAGATACAATTATGTTATTCTGAAATCTGAATCTGAGGTAATACAATTCTGCGGAAATGTTTTAAGAACGCGAATTTTTATGTGTTGTGTAAAATCTCTTGTAAAGACCTATTTTATCAGTATAAAGTCATACTGGTGACTGACTTGTTTATTTTTAAAACCAAAACCTGTTTATACATTTATCAGAACTGAGACAGATAATGAAGACTGAAGAATACAGTCGTTTGATGTTATAGGAATATATCGTATGAGAAACTGAGAAACTCTTTTTTTCTATGTTTTCTGCCTGTAAACTTTAATGAAGGTTTCTCGCGGCTTTGATTGAAACTTACAAATAAATAAAAAAGTAATATCTTACCTACCCACGATGCCTCTTCCTTATTAATTGTGATAGCAACATTAGTGTGAGCTTGAAGCTGAGGTAAAAGTACAGCTGAATAGCCGAGGGTCATACCAACCACCACAGTTAGGATTAGGGGACCAAGGGATGCCAAACTCTACAAAAAAAAATAAAACTGCAAAAATCATCAATAATTATAAAATAAAATCGTGACCTCTCTGTAGCATGTCATTATTTAAGAGACCACTGAATCACATACACGATGTTTGATGTCTGATACTACAACAAATTTAAGCAGACTTGAATTTTATTATATTCTTATCTAAACACATTATTATTGTTCTCGCACAAATGGATTATAGTACTACAATCTCTAACTTTATATCAAATAATTCTCAGGCAAATAAGAAATATCAAGCATTTGAAATTCATTATAGAGCTGAACAAAATATATAGGGATATTTTTGGGCACTGTTGAGATTGACAGAACCACCAATATGATTTTGAGTAAAAGTGTTCACCATACCATACAGCTATATCTATGAGATTCAGCTGTAATGTAGATCATTAACAGCAGACTAAGGCTAGTGCGAAGTGCCTCGATTGGGAAAAGCCCCTCTAGTTAAAGTTAGGTCTCCTCCGAGTGCAAACTACCTTTATTGGGAAACGCCCTACTGGATCTGTCTCAAAACCCAACTTCATTCAAAATATTACAAGTGTACAGAGTCTACATCAGTAGGTACTAAGTAGTACTTCCCTCCATAGAAGAGGCGGCAAATGTGGAAAGTTTTTAATGACATAGGGTATTGCTTTCATCATGTCAAATTTTAATTATATATATGCCGATGACATTTTCAAGAGTAGGTATAAATCAAAAAGTCTTAGTCAGGGGAATGCAAAATGATCTTCTGAGGTTCCAGGAGTGGTGTGTTGAGAACGAGATGACATTAAATAGTAAAAAATGCAAATGTATTCAGTTCCTGAGGAAAAATTCTCCCAAACTAAATAACTATTATATAAATGATGATGTTATTAAAAATGTTTCAAGTATTCGTGACATAGGTGTTATATTCGATGTTCGATGCAAAATTGTCATATTCTGAAGATATTTATGCATTTCGTAATAAATAACCATTGAAAATGTTTAGGATTTTAACACGTTCGCTGCCAGAGAGATTTCGGTTGATCGGGTCCAAAATGCCAATGTTGAAAAACTATATTTTATCATCGAAATAGGTCTAAATAACATAAAATATTCACCCAAAGTAGTACCTGACCCATATTTTTGCAAAAAAATACCATACCATACCAAGGACTACCATGTTTGAAAAAAAAAAAATTTTTTGTTGTTTGATAAAAAATAGTTATTTATGCGAGTGCGACAATCACATGAGTGAAAAAAGGTGCTTTACGCACGTATTGCATACAAAATTTTTTCTACTACCAATCAAATGTATAAAAAAATAAATTTAGACAAATTCTTCACGCACTAGTGCGTAAAGTATTTTCACTTTACGCACTAGTGCGTGAAGTAATTTACCAGAAAAATAGTAATTTGACAGGTCGACATCTGTCATTGACATTACTTTACGCACTAGTGTGTGAAGTGAACTACTTCACGCATTAGTGCGTGAAGAGAAATTTCACGTCTTCTGAATAGTGCGTAAAGTGAGTACTTTACGCACGGTAGTAGAAAAAAATTTTTTTTGTTCAACTATGCCTGCGTGATATTCTTATACATGTCCCGTAGGCCAGGCACCCCCATTAACCTGTATTTACAACGAATATACTCGTACTTGACTTTGAACGACACAATGCAACATGTCTACTACGAGTTAACTCGTACTTGGCAGCGAACGTGTTAAATATCTTTCTGCTCTAAAGTGCTTATGTATCATTAGTGCATTCCCATCAAGAAAATAATATCTGCGTCCCTATATGGTCACTACATTAGAAAATTTAGGTAGGTACCTATATTGAGTTAGGTGAATGAGTACAAAAAAAAAAATCTTCAGATATATAGGTTACAAACTCACAAATTGGGAAAACCATCACAGGTTTATTAATTATGATCATCTTTTAAATAATTTATCATTGGATTAGGCGGTCACTGTGATCTTGCTTATGTAGGTACCTATATTCATTTATTTATTTATTTATTTACAAGTTCAATACACTACAGAATAAAATATTCTAAATGGTACAAAGATAAAAAACAAAAACAAAGATTCACAACCAACAAAGGACATAACGAAGTGGCACAGTCAACCACTCCCTACAGAAAAGGCAAATTGCAAATCTCTCAACATCCTCTTAACAGATACCAAACTAACAGAGAAAAGATCACAATCATGGAATTATTTTAAGTTTCCGTTTTAAATTTTATTGTTATTTTCTATATAATCTGTTTTTTTTTGTTTTAAATTAAGAAATAGATTTTTTCACTTTTTATTTATAATTATTATTACAATCTTTGTAAAAATTGGGCTGTTGCCCGTTGACATTAATGATAAATAAAAATAAATAAATTCGAAATTCTCATTACCTGCTTCAAACATGCCGAAAACTGCTTATTTTCATCGACTTTCTCGTCATTATTTTGCTTGTTTTTCGATGTACAGCTTTTCAGCACCGAAAATAAGTCGATTCTGAAAATAAAAGAGTATTGATATTGTTATTTTTGATAATATTATTTGTAAAAAAAAACAATGTTAATAAAGTTTACAGAACGGAAAATATAAAATAATTTACAATATTTTTGTAATTATCGTATGCATCTTATAATAAAAGAAACGAAAGTTTTCTGTTATGCGACGTTTCATGGGATGCGAGCACAATATTATAATTGCCTACTTTCACTATGAATTTTTTATGTAACACGATTCTACATATAAAAATTTTAATACATACCTAAAAACTTATATTTAAACAAGCAAAAATTAAGTACCTACCTCTTTAGCATTGGCCAACAGATTCTAAAGCGTTAATTTATGCGCATATATTAATTACTTAAAAGAAGTAATTGAGTATACAGGGTGTCCTGGATAAGGATGCACTCTACAGGGATCTTGGTAACCATAAGAGATACAGGGCTGGTTAAATTTGGAAAAAGTTATTGTATTACTGAGCTCAGTGCGTGATGATGTTTCGATATTTCGGATATTCCGAATGCTTTTGAAGATATCCATGAAAAAATCGAATTTATTTGAAATGATATCGCAAAATAAACATCACATTCTTATTGCCACTTTTTCTCCACTACATGACAATATTATTAGATTTTTGATCAGACGTTTCGTTTCTTCGCGATCATCATCAACTTTGTTTTTTTTCAAATGGTCGAAATTTTTTATTTTATGCCTAATAAACTGTACTTTTTATTCTAAATCCAACAACATATCAAGCTCATAATTCCAGGAATATTAATTACCATTAGTGGTTCCATTAACTAACGGGCCTCCACGATCGCCAGACATTACATCATTACACTAATGGATTTTGAAGTCAGTTAAAGTTTATTAGGCATTAAATAAAAAACTTCGACCATTGGAAAAAACAAAGTTGATGATGATCGCGAAGAAACGAAACGTCTGATTAAAAATCTGAATAACATTATTATCATGTAGTGGAGAAAAAGTGGCAAGAGAATGTGAGGTTTATTTTGCGATATCATTTCGAATAAAGTCGGACAAAAATAAAAACGATTTCAGCAAAATTCGGTTTTTTATCGATATCTTCGGCATATCAAAACATAAACCAACCCTGTATTTCTTATGGTTAACGAGATCCTTGTAGAGTGCATCCTTATCCGGGACACCCTGTATATTTATAAGAATCAGTCATTAGTAATCTTGAAAAGTTATTTGTTGCCTAAAATGTTCCACTTTCACATCTCTATAGAATAAACATTAAGAATTATTACTGAAATGAACTAGAAGAAAAAAAAATTATATCAAAATAAATTACCTAACGATTTTGCAATGTGCACAGTATTAAAAAAATGAGGATGTTTTTATTGTAAGCATGGATCTTGAATGTAACAAATTGTGGAAATTTAAAAGCACTCACATAGTCATTTTCCAATTGTTGGTAAAAATAATTATCCTTAAACAACTTCACATTTCACAATTTCCTTGACATTCAAATATCACAAGTAAATATCCGCACACCAAAGCCATAATGAAATTCTTCAGCTAAAAATACGCACTGTGGACGCCAGTACCTATTAGTTAACAGTTTATGAACATTCCATTCCAACAATCTTTTACGAAATGTTGAAGGTGACGAAAAGAAGGAGAAAGAACACATATCGGCGTCATTTGCGAGACTGCCTGACTGTCTTGCCTTAAGGAGGTCAAGTTTATAATAATTCTGGAAAAAGAAATGAGATTTGAATGAGAAACCCTAAAATGAGACTTTAGAAACAAAATAGTCCATATAAATAGCCCTTAGAAGTTGTAGAAGACAAAAAAACTGAGATAGAAAGGAAAGGACTAGAAAAAGCCTTTGGCTAAATGCTTTTGTGAAACTACTAATACAGTCTAAAAATCTGTAGACAGCTGAAATATTTAGGAAATAAACTTCTGGACAGAATTGGATGTTGTGATTTGCCATCTTCTAGACAATAATTTTTTTGAAAAATTTCATATGTCCCCCTTATGTCCCCTAATTTTTATAACAATTACTGGTGGATCATGCCAATTGAAATCTGCCAAATATCACTAAAATGTCAAAAAAACCTACACCAAAACTCCTGACTCCAGGCGAAATATCTAAAAAAATAATGTTGAAACCGAAAAAAATATATACTAAAGAATGGCTCGACAAAGACGGTCTAAACAGAGACCAACGCCTTGCGCTCTACAACGAAAAGAAAAATAAATTTTTGGATTGTGCTAAAGCCTACAATAGAATGAACGTTGAGACTTCAATGTGCCCCAAAGTACAGTTGAATAGCGATTATGAAAGTAGGTTGAATTTGGATTTTTTAAAAGAAAAAGAACCAGTGGAAGAGGACTGCGATTCATTTTGTTGCTGCCCAAATCGTATTCCTGGAGCTGGAAGAGTTTTGAGGCGAAGAACACTTCGACATATAGAAGAAGTGATTATTTATTTACTCGTTATAAATTTTTTCTCTTAAAATTAATTTATAGGTTGAAGAGCCCACAGTCAAAATATGTTCAACAGAAGCCTGGTTCAAAAGACACCTGATTTTAAATAAATTTATTTGGGCAGCAAGAACTGTTATAATCCAAAACAGACTTCAAAAAGTGCTCGATAAATTTAGAGGATTAACACTTAAGGATATACGAGCAATTGAAGAAACTATGTCTGAAAAAACTTGTGAAGAATACCACTGTCATCCGGTATTTTTAAAATTTCTCTAGAATAATTATGCTATTTATTATATACAATATTTTTAGTATTATTAAAATTAAACGTAACAAAATTGAACACTAATTGGTCAAATTAATCAGACTTTTGTTAAATATCTAAATCGTCATCCGGATCTTCCTCATCCCAATCATCTACAGCGTCGTATTCGTAAATTATTTTACCACCTCCTTCTTGCGGTTTAGGTTCATTTGCCCTAGAAAAAAAATTGATTCGTGTTTGAGTTTGATTATTCCTAATTTTAAATAAAGATAAAACTTCAACAGTTATTGAAAAAACTGGTCCTTACTCTGGTAAATAAGGCAAAACAATGTTGTCCCTCAACAATTTTTCTTGCTCAGTCAATCCTATTTTAAAAGTAGACAATTCCTCAGGATTTACTTCTTTAGGTGTGGCTTTCTCCAATAACTTTTTGGGATCCAGTTTCAATATTTTACTTGTTATCAATTGGTCTTTCTCGAATCTGTATTCTTCGATTTCTGCAATTATTTTACCGCCCGATTTTTTGTAATCGTATTGCAAACGTGGATTGTCTGATGGTAGAAATGTGGCTTCCATATTTACGGTTAACGTTGTTAGATTATTGAAATATTGAACTACTTTTTGGGCGTCGCCTTCAATAAGATCTTTGTGTAGAATTGAAATTATTTGTTTTAAGCCTAAAAAAATATACATAATGATATTTGAAAACAATCCGTTTAAAGCCTAAAACATCTTTACATACATCAACCAACAACCAACCATGGAATCATGGCTACAGGGGCACAATACTGAATCTAAGAGTATTTCAAAAAAAATAAATAAGAGTCGACTAAATGCTCACATTGAATGAATTTGCTCTTGCTCTGCAAACTAGTACAGTGGTTTCTTTGCATTTTGAGTTGCCCTTCAGTCTTATAGTAGGGTGCTTATTGTGATAAAATTGCTTTCGAAATAAATTCTGTGGGGGCAAAATGTCACAAGCTAAATTGTTAATGTATTAAAAAGTTGTATTTTGGAGATTCTAAAACCAAAGGTAATGCAAAAGGGTACTATTTCCAAAAACGAGATATTGGTACCATTGTATACAACATAACGAGTAGATACCTATTTACTACAATATGACTAAATCCAAAAAGTTCCTTTACAAGTTATAAAAATAAAAAATAAATAAAATAAATAAATTCTTCGTTTACGGCCATGCATTTTTACAAAGAAGATTTAAAAGTGTAGGTACTCGCAATAATAAAGATGTGGAATAATAAGTAGGTAGGTAACACAAATAAGTATAAAAAATAAGATAAAAAACAACATTACATAAGCCTAAACAAATATTTTGTATTAGGTATTATAGAGATATACAGAGTGAGTTTTAAGTATGGAACGTCTCAATTATCTCGAAAACGGCTCGCACGCTGTTTATGAATTATGATTTGAAAGAGCACAATATGTATGTACAAAGCCCGTATGTATGATATGGACGATAATATGGTAGTATTTACATAGTTGTCAGATCTTTCGTTTTTTCGGGAAATATCAGGAACAGAGAAATGGGCTATTGTCTTCCAATCAGTTCCTATTCCAATTCTCAAAAAATATGAACGATGCCATTTTTAGTGTCCTGGAACGGGTTTACTTCAAACTTAATGTTGGTGAGAAGGCTACGGCAGTGTTTTGTGACTTGGCCAAGACTTTTAACTGTGTCAACCACGAAATCTGCTGCGCAAGCTTGAAATCTAGGGTTTCGGGGATGTTGTCTTGAGGTGATTTAGTTCTTACTTATCACAGAGAAGTCAGACTGTTGTCTTTCAGGATAGTTTTTCAGGAAGCTTGACTGTTGGTGCTGGCGTTCCACAGGGGCTGTCTTGAGGCCATTGTTGTTTTTAGTGCATTTCATTTTCCGATGATACCACAATGGTTTGGCATCATGAAGACACTGGCATGCTAACTGCTGTGGTGAGCGACAAGTTAGCAACAATCAAAATGTAGTACGGCTCCAATCGGTTGTCATTTAATATTTAAAAGACATCCATCATGAATTTTTAGTGTAATATTGGCGATATTACATAAACCTAAGTGATAAACACATTGAAAACTGTCAAGGCTGAGCTGGAGGAATCAGTTGCTAGAATGGTGTAATTTAATTTAATTGAGTCAAATCTTAGCAAGAGTATTTGCTTCTGGGGTTATTGCTCATTAAGCTGTTTGCTGCACAGATCAAAAAGAGTGAGAACTCTCTTTCGAAAAGAAGGCTTTATTGTATGCCGCAGAAACTATAAAGAGGAAGCAACAGAGCAAGATCCAGAAACCTTTGACATTTTTTGAATGCCATCATCAGTGATTTAAAAGTAGAAAACAACAAAAGGATGCCTATAGTCAAAAGCTTAAACATCTATGCTCGAAGATGCTTCGAGATAATATGACGAGAAGTTTTTAATGGATATAGCGGCGAAGGACAGTAAAATTGAATCACTAGAAAAAACCAGATGTCAAATTTTTGACATAACGCTTCCTAGATAAATAACTACCTAATTAATGATTGTCATTGTCATTAATTGTCATTTCAAACCATGAATTCATTTTAATAAATCTTGACATTTTTTCAGGTTTTAATATCATTTTTCGGGGATAATACCACATAATACCGCGAGAGCTTCAAAATTACGGATAATTTTTCACGATTCTAGGAAACGTTATGTCAAAAATTTGACATCTGGTTTTTTTCAAAAATGTCCCAATGAAACCTATTGAGATTTTTGAGATTATATAAAGCAAAATGAGCTCTATTCAATCGATGAAAAAAAAGATGGCGTTCCCATTTAAAAAAAAAAGATCAATGACGTCATATCTTTGAGAGGATTTTTTTTCCTATATCTCTGTGTAACTTTTTCCTACACGTCTTCTTACACCTATTTCCAAAATTTCATCAAATTCCATCGACCCGTTTTCTCAGAATAATGCCAACACACACATACACACACGCGGACGGAAATGTGCCACCTTGCCAAAAAGGCTTAAAATGATCCAAAACGTCAAGATTTAGTGAAATTTTGACATGGTCAAAATCGGGCTATCACCATAGCTTCCTATCTAGGACGCTAAAAACTTAAAGAGCAGCAGAAAATGATCGATAAGCACAGGAAAGAAGACGTCGCTGTTGGTTTCTCATTCAAACATATTGGAATATAAACAGACAAATCACCTCCCACTGATACCAATATAATCTCCTTAGATGGAAACTCCAATTTGTTAAGCAGTATCCAAGAACTAGAAAACATGATTGCTGACCTTCATGGAAAAATACAAAAGAATGTATTAACAATAAACAAATTGTACACTGACATACTGAATCTGAGGAAGGTAAAAGACAATATGTGCAACCAGTGCAAGTACCTCTCGTTGGAAAAGTTCCTCTGGAATTAAGTCTCCCCAGTGCAAGTACCTCTCGTTGGGAAAGCCCCTCTGGGTATCTTCAGCCTTATCGTTGTCCAGTGCAATTACCTCTCGTTGGGAAAGCCCCTCTGGACATGCGGGCATAAAGTACACTTTATGGCCCGCGCGGGCATAAAGACGCAAAAAACAGTTTTCGATTAACTTATTCTTTATTAACAAAATATAAATTTTATAAATTATTTAGTTGTATTTACATAAAATTGGCAATTTTGGAAGGTTCCGCTGATAGCACCAGAGGTTGACTCATGATTCATTGTCTGGGTCTCTAGTTTCTGTGAGGAAATGCGAGATCCAGATGGTACGCCTGCTAGCATCCTTGAAAGCTCATTTTTTGAGGATATGCTGTCCTCTAAATATCCTTCAGCAACTGTGGTGCTCTTCCATCCACCATGGCGCTTCAGCGTAGTCATACTTGCTCCAGCTTCTGCTAAAAGAGTTGCTGACGTACGACGTAAACAATGGCCAGTGTACTTTTCAGGGTTGTTCAAACCCAAATATTTTGCAATAATACAAGGAATTTTTCCAAATGTGTTTTTTCCAACAGGTTGTATAGTACAGCGGCCTTGTCTGTAGCTTAAAAATTGTCTTTTTTCTGAGCAGCCATGTGGTCGCAAAGAAATATAATTTCTTATAAGTTTCAAACTCTTCATTTCGTCTTCATCAACAATGGTGAAAACTCTTTTTTTGTCAGTTTTGGTTTCTGGAACCGTTACAACAAAGACTGACTTTCTATCTTCTACATGTGTGACTAACATATTAACAAGTTCTTGTCGCCGACATCCACCAAATACACCAAATAATAATGCGACCTTATTCATTAAAAACGTTTCATTTGGTGCCTCATGAATAAATTTTAGGACATTTTCTCTAGTTAAAACACTGGATTTTTTCGGTTGGTATCCTTTTGACGTTTGCTTCAAATACTCGCATAATTTGTGAAAATTACAAATATTCGTATTCTTATTTACCATTAAAGTCTTCTTTATCATCGAATATTTAGCCCACAGAGAGCTTGAGGAAAATTTTTTAGATAGATCATGAAAGTACCCCAACAGCACAGTTTCGTTAATGTTTTCTACAGCATTTTCTGACATCCACTTCAAAAATTGGTCATATTCTTTGTCGTATGAGTCTCTGGATTTTCTCGGTAACAGGTTTTGCGTTGCCTTTTCAGCTTTCTTTGCAATTTCGTCAGGAATTTCAAAAGCTTGTTCCATTTTCGATTTTTGACTTTGACACATTAAATATTTTATTTTCTACTTTACTATTATAGATCCATAATACCTAGCAAACGAAATACGTTAACACACCTATAACAACCTGATCCATAACGCCCGCTTATAATACCTTAAGGTGTTTTTGTTGTCGTTGTTCTATTAATTTGCACTTTACCCTAGGCAGCCACTAAATGTCTGACCGAAAATAATTTTCGGTCTAGCCAGGATTCGAACCCGGTCTACCATCAATGTTTCCCATGTAGTCCAGCGCGTTAACCCACAGGACCACCACCGTTGCCTTGCCTTATGAGATGTTTATAGATATATTAATTTATTTCGTTTCTATGTACAGGTCGCAGGTACAGGTACAGGTCACAGGTACAGGTACATGTCAAAATACAAAACAATATTCTGTCACACAAGTTGAACTGATTTTGTTAATAACAAATTGATGAAAAAACATTGTGTTGAGTAGAAAATAAAGCATTGTATGCACCACGGGGATTTCAAGATTATAATGCCCTTCAGGCGAAATATATCCCTCGGG